ACATGTTACACTGTTATGAAACAAGGCATTAAGCTTCCCAAACCAAAGCACGAGGTCCACAAGTGCTTCTTTTTTTTTCATTCACTTGCACTTGCAATTTAATTACTATGTTCCATCCTGTATTCAAACAGCTCATTTCTGTTAACCAATCATCTAATAACTATTTCAATGACTTGATTAGTAGCTTCTTAAAGGCATAATAACTCTTTGTATGAGACCTATATTTCACAATAAAAACCTTGTGAATAACTCATAGAAATATAATATATTCTGTTTTACCACAAAAACAGCAGTTATAGCTTTTATTCTGATGTTTGAACTTGTCTTTAGACCACGTGACCTCCATTGATGTCTATACTCTGTTAAAATCTCTTAAGAGATTTTAACAAAAAACCAAACTTTTTAGAAAAAAACCAGGGACTAACTTTGAATGTAAAAATGGATTCATTAACCATTGGTAAGTATGGGAAAATTGTTGTTTACTCCAGGAAAATTCATTTTTTGGCCGAAACGAAGAGTTATTATTGCTTTAATATCTAAGCAGTTTCTTTTATTAATTAGGTTACTACTTGTGCACATTTCAGCAAACACTAGTAGTTACTTACTAACCAAAAAATGAAACAATAACCAGTGCACGATTTCTCCAAAATAATTAGCACCATAAAAATAATTGCCAAAAGTAAGTTAAAACTCATCAAAAATAAATCGTAAAGCATAGTTTCTTTTCACTAGCCTATTCAATGTTATATAGATGTAACTTACTCTTGTGGCCTGTGAGGTTTACTGTATGGGTCGTTGGGATGAAGTTCTTGACCAGGCGTTGGTGGACGTGCAGGAGGATCTAGAGACAGAATTATATCATATGCATAACATCTAAAATTACATAATTCACAAACAGCAAATTCATTATTTCTTTTAATTGTTAACTGATTACATGGTGGGGACATTGTTAAACTATCATCTTAATGTACAATGCACCTTGAAAACCCCAAAAACTCACTGGTATTCTCCCATTTTATCAAATTTAGACTTGAAAGGAGCAACTTCTACAGGGTCAACAGAAAAATATTGTCTTAAAGCAACATGGTTTAGCCTCACCTACAGGGTTGTTATTATTGCAATCTTTTTACCATGTAATTCAGTTACTACAAAGCTCTTGAACGAAACACAGCAGGTAGACACAGATTGAGCTCTAACATCCAGTGAAGTTATTTTCACAACTGTTCTTCTCAAAATAGCCCACAAAGGTTATAGTGGTGTATGCCCTATGTGCTGCATAAAGTGCTCCCTAGTTTTCAGTCATTTATTTTCTGCCACTTTCTTTGTCTTTGCCAATTTGTAATGAGCAATTAACAAAAAGCTCTCAATAGACATCAACAGCAAAGGAACCTGCTTTTTCTTCTACTTGTCATATTAATTGGGAATCTACCTACCTGCATCCATACTAGGCAGTGGAGGTCTAGGAGGGGGTTCATCATACCCTGGTGGTCCCCCCTTGCCTAGCAGCGGTGTGGCAGGTTTGTCTAGCTCAGCAAATGTGATTGGAGTGAAGGCTGGCCTGGGGGGTTTCATGTCTGCAGGGTCCATTCTGTTGATGTTCACATTATCCTGCTTTCTCTGGAAGTCTGGTGTGTGTGAACGTGAAGGTGTGAAATCTACAAACATAAGATAAGGGAGGAAAATAAAATAAAATGCTGTGACCTCTTAGCCGCTAGTGTCTGAACTGGTGATCACCATTAGGTGGAATATTCCAGCAGGTACCCATCTAATCACCAATAGAACAAACTCCATTTCAAATATCAGATACTGATTTAGTTACAGTGATGATAGAATTTAAATCAATAAAAATATAGAATTTAAATCAATCAATAAAAATATACAAATAAATAAATAAACAGTCATAACCTCTTTTTTTATTCAATAAATTAGTTTGAAGGAATGGGGATAATGATGATATAAAGTTTAGGAATGCAATTAAAGGGGCCATTTAGACTACAAGTGCCTTGATGGCTAGATCAAATTATGTGCATGCTAATGCTCCATAAAAATCCCATCAAAATACAAATGCAGATGGACTCAATTCTCTTGGGGGGAAATATGTTTGCTTAATACACACTGTATGGAAGATGGCCTGGGGCATGAATAATAAAGAGCCCACAGACTTAAACAAGCTTTTTCTATAGTGAAAATAACTTCCAAGTTACATATATAGAATGAAAATACATTCCACTCTGAGAATACAGATGTTGAATTATTTGCCTTACTGTTAATGCTGTTGGGGAAATGCCAATACAAGCAGAGTAAAGAAGCTTAAAGAAATAAGTATAAAAAAAATTGTTTGGTCAACATGACAGTCACAACAGGCATCCAAAGATCATGTAAACACTGTGGAGTGGAATCTATAATTTTTTACTACTATCTATTATCCTTGTACACCTTTGATGTGTAGAACATCATTTATTTACTTTGAGCATCAGTATTTAGGTTCATTACAAATTAAGTATTTTGAGACTATAAAACATCTCCACAGTACAATACCCATTCCAAATTTTATTGCCATCATTCCCAGTTTTATCATTTTCCTGTACCTACCCCCTTCTCTGGGCTGGCTGTTCTGACGCTTGTGGTTTATGTTACCAGTTGGCTTCTTTACCACCACTAGATGCAGTTTGTCTTTGGATTTTTCTAATAGCTTCTTGGCTTCATTCAATAAGAAGTCTGAAGCAGTGTTGTTAATCTAAAACAAACAAGCATTTATGAACCAAGTTATCATTTTGTGTGACAGTACAAATAATATGCCACATTGACGGAACACACTTGCAGATGTTTTAGATGAATAGGTTTAATTTTTTTCTTTTTCAATTTATCCTCCAAAGTTACAACATATATTAAACCGCCCAAACACCTTGTAACGTATAATTGTTGATACCTGTGAAAGCGATAATTATTTTCAGTGGCGTTAAAATACCTTTAAAATTGTGTCTCCTTCTTTCAGGCCCCCATCCTGAGCTGCTAGACTGTTCCCAATTATTTCTTTTATATACAGTCTGCAGCCCAATACCAGACCAAATTCTGGAATGAAAATAGTTTCATCAATTACTTTAATCCAAATGCATATTCCTAGGAAGTATGTAAGCATTCTTTATGCTTTTTTTTATTAAAAAAAATAGTTACAAAATACATTAAAAAAATCAACTGAAAAAGACAATACTAACATTATTTCTGTACACTGAAATTTCAGAAACTTACCATCCTTTTTATTTTTCTTTGTAAGTGTCACCTTTGTATGAGCTGGTTCTTCGTGACCAGGAATAACAACTTTCCTTCGTATTTCCTGAAAATAAATCAATACATCTGTGAGCAAATGCATTATCACCTCAAGATCAACCAGAATCTCAATCTTCTGGGGCGTAGAGCCCAAAGGAAACAGCTAACTAATGGTGTAAATTATGACCTTTATGAGCCAGTAATATAGTCATGATAGTTAAAATGCACATAAAACTATCCTTACAATCACATTGCTACTTCTAAGGCAAATACTTCCTGAAATCAAGAGAATGATAACACAAGAATGATAAGAATTGAAGGCGTTCATGGAAACCTGGGTAACTGAATGTTAATGTTTTGAAAACAAAATCTCAATTTTCTTAATTTTAGCCATGCCTTTATTGCAAAAACCATGATACTTACCATGTTAACAGTGTTCCCACTGTCTTTGAGAATTTGGATGGCTGTAGAGTGGTCCACATTGTCAAGGTTGTATCCATTCACACTTAGCACTCTATCATTGATCCTGGTGAAGAGAAAATGGAATGTCCTCTATACTGACAAAATTGCACATATAATTAAAAAAACCACCCAATATGTTAATTAATTTCAAGTCATTTTACATTTTTACATCTTTTTTTTTTCAAACAGATGATATCTTTTTTTAACCAATCTGTGACAGATATTTTCTTTTCGTTCTAATAGAAGCAAGGTATAGTGGAATACAAAATTACTTGGATCACCACCAATAGGAGAATATCATACTGTGGTGGTAATACAAAAACAACAAAAAATTCCTCAGACACAGTCTGTATTCTCAGTAAATACCCAGGTGGCGTAAGATATTTAAGAAAGAAACATTCCACCACCCATCTCAATATTAACTGTTTTTTCTACTGCAACTTAATCAAAAGATAGACTGATCATTAAGGTAATTGAATTAAGCCTGGCGTTTTTACACAGATCTAATTTGGTATCACCAGATGCTGAACTTTTTCGCCAGTTCTTACCAGATATAGTATTTAAGTGATCTCTGAGGAGTTGATAAGATATCAGAATAAAATTATCACAATTTCCCCAAGGAAATGTCAAATCATCAGTCAACAATATCCAGATCCTGAATATTACATTGACAATAAAGTAAAGAATATAAGAGTGTAATAGATTACAGATTGACTTATCTGTCCAACTTAGAGCATCTTTCTTTTCCTTTCTGTTTCAATTAGCTCAATTAACCAAAAGACAATAGTGACCAAAAGTTAAAGAAGTAAATACTTAAAATAGAACTAAAAGCATCAAGCAAATTTCTAAATGGTACATGTACGCTCATTTATGTTTATGTGTGTGTGTGTGTGTGTCTGGGGGGGGGGGGGGGCATACTGATGGCTGGTACTAACTGTGAGCCTGCTGCTTTGGTCGACAATCTAGTGTTACTTAATTCTACCTTCAAATGGCAAAGCTGTCATTTTCTTTTTCATAAAATACCCATTCCTCTATCTCAGGTATCATCATCTACAACAAAGACCATATTATCTCTCTGTGTATCTGGACGGTTGACTTACTGTAGTTTCCCCTCTGCTGGTCCCGCTTTGAGTACATCTGAGATGGCTATGGCAGGGTCGCCATTGGCAAAGTGTGGATTGTCACGGCCACCACTGACTGCTATACCAAAACCAAAGCCAGGGACCTGGGAATCAAAAATAAATAAATAAATAAATAAATAAATAAATAAATAAATAAATAAATTAAATGTACAACAATCATGTGCCAAAGTGCCTCAATATCTCTTGAATTTTTCAACATTAATTACATGGAAAAGTTAAATCACCTTTTTTTCTTAAAAAAAAGTTTTGCCGCTTTTCTCCATTTGTGAACTTACTTGGAAAAAGCCAAAAAGTATTATCAAGTGACCAAAAATAGCATAAGCAAACCACAAGATTGTTATGTATTGGAAAGAAATAGAATAACAATTAATATATTAATAATTATCTAACTATTTATGCATTGATTGTTATTCTATTACTTTCCAATATATAACAAAGATGACAATATTCGATGCACTTGAGTGAGACAAAATGATACCCAGAATAAAGAAGAACAATGTAATATAAATTCATATAATGTTTGAAACCTATTACCAAGGGCTCTTTCCTGTAATTTGCAGATGCATAATAAATAATCTTGATTCACATCCATATTTCTTGTTAAAAACATGTCATTATTTACACTGCATTACATAGGCTATGAGTAATTGCTGCATCTCCACTGAGCCGATTACGTATAAGCAGAGTGAGAAGCATCACACTTTTTGCAAATCAATTTGTCAGCAGTTTCTGTGAGGGTGTAAATACCTACTTCCAACCTACTATATTTGAGAATTTACAAGACTTAATTCACCACTGTGAGAATAAAACTTGGCGTCTTGTGGGAACAATTCTGTTTACACATTCTTTATGGACAAACATAAAAACTTGAGACATAAATGCCATGGTTTGTAATCTGAAAGTTGACACACAAATCTTCAAGTTTAATGCATTCTCACTTTCAGTGCCTGCCATATCCAATTTGGCCAGCATCAACTTAGTATTCTGTATGAGCAATGACAGGATTTTAATGCTTCAGAAATTAACCCCCAGATCCATGAAATCTGATTTCTACAGTTTAAGTTACCTAATGTCCAATACTATGAATAACAACAGCATGCCAAAGATTTGAATCACTAAAACAACCTCGATAGCAAGGACCTTCGTTTTCATCTTATTGAAAGAATTTATTTCTTCAAACAAAGATTTAAATATTTTGTGGCATGCCCAAGCCAAATCTCTCTGATAAATCCCTGCATAAATCGTAAAGATAATTCCGATTAAATCACGGAAAAAAAGACAACTCTTCATGACAGAATGCTGATATCTTGCTATATGTGTATGAATCATCAATATTTTTTTACATTCATCTAGAATGTTAAATGGAATAGAAAAAATCTAGAGCAGTTTTTATATTTTCTAAGGAGGTAAAAGATGTAAACTGTTTGTCTCCAACCCACAAGATGCACTTGCTTCTAGCATATGTCTCAGATGGGAAAAGGTTTCAAATTGATCAATGGCTATCAGATGATCTGTTAAGAACTCATCATGTCAAGTGAAATTTTGGTTCTGATACTCATTTCATAAACTTCAAACAAAAAGGACATCTTTGATTATGCAGATATTGATTGAAAAGAACTTAAGACACAAATTATGTATCAAAAAGCTCTTTCTGGAGCAATTATTGCTTCCTGCTCTGGAGTTCCTTCACTTGCATGGAATATCGATTCTAGAATAATCGTATTTCCATGGCACAGTCTTTACTGGTGTGAGTCATGTTACTGTCTCTGAGGGAAATTAGCTGAATTTCGCAGACAAACATTGATTTTTTGGTCTCTTGGTACCACCCTTGCATGTCTGGTTTTCAGCTGTTATCACAATTTTGGGCACTGACTCTAAGTGCCCATACAACAGTGTAGGCGGAATGCTGCAGCAAGTTGATGAAAAATTATGCAAACAACAGGAGCAAAAACCATATTGTAATTCTATCTCTTGAATTAAATCACAAACAAGGTAGTTAACAACGTAAATGATGTTTTTTACAAATTTACAGCATTATTTGATAGAAATGCAAAAGATTGAAAATGAAATTTCAAAGAAGACTTACCCTAGTCAAGTGCACATTATGGGATTGCCAGACTACTCTCTCTCCACCCTGAAAAAGAAACAAGTGCATTTATTCTCTTTAATGTCATCAATCAGAAAAAGTGTGCTAACCTTTTTACAGGACTGAGTAGAATGACTGATAAAACTTAAATATGCCATGTTTGTATTGATATAAATAAAATACTGATTCAATATTTTTACTGTGACAAATACAACATAAGTACAACATGGCACTAAAATTTCCCACTTAGCTGCTAAAACTCCCTTTTATCAGAATAAAAAATCCCCTTCTATCAAATATGTATAAGCAATGCTTGAATCACCTCCTTTTCATAATCCTACTACTGTGTATTATTAGTGATTTACAAAGTTGACATATGCATTAAAACATTTCTGCACTGTATTCAAACTATTTGAAGAGCACTTAAGTTTCTCTAAATTAAAGTAACACTTATAATGTTACATTTCTGCTAGACAAGATAAGAGAAGTTGGTATTACATATGTTAGGGAAAACACAACTCTCCTGTCATAATCTTATCAGAAGAAAAACACTAAGTAAAGAAATTCTATTATTCAATGTTATCTGTCATGGTGAAAATGTGGTTAACGATATCTGATACCTTTCACCAGCTCAATCTGATTATCCCCAATTTGTTCAAAATATAAATTTGCAAACAAACCCAATGAATGCTGTGCCCCAACTTAAAAAGAATGAAACCTTCATATTTGGTCAAGAACAATTTTTATGTACTTCAAAAAGCATCCATCAATACTTTTTTCTGTATTTATTACTGCTTAGTCAGCAGAATCCACATTGACAGAAACAACAAAAACACTGAAAAATTCTCACATTCACCATACCTGATTGCCACGATTCAGATAGTCTGTGATAAGATTACACAGCTTAAACTTCATATTGACTTCTCGAGTCAACAGTAAAGCAATCTCCTGGCCATAGGCAGATACTGTGTCTGATATTCGAAATTACTGATTGCACATTTCCAACGAAAGACAACTGTTCAACTGTTGGGCGAAATCCAAGCTCACTTGCTTCAACTGTCACTTAGCTTATAACCAGTACAGCGGTGACTCTGGTTTGGTCACATGACCAATCAGATTGGGACTTGTGCAGTCATGTGACCAGCAAGTCAATTCCTGATTCATGTTGGAGGACTAGAGGGATTAAGATGACAAATCCACAATAACAATAACATCAGCTATAAGGTCTCTGTTTTCAATCCATATCTTAAATTTTATCCTAGTTTTGAATATTGCAAAAAGATGGAAGCATCATCCTCATTCAAGGCAGCAATAGAAATCAACAAGATTCAAAGCAGCTAAAGCAGTAACATCTCAATCAGTCAAAGTTACAACCTCTCCACAAAAAAGCTTGAATGCACTGAATACCGGAGATTAAACAAAAAAGGGATTGAAGCAGCAACAGAAGCACTATTAGTTATCATGTCTGTGCCGCTGCTAATCCAGGTTTTAACAAGACATCATGCAATCTCTTCCATTATTGACCAAGGAGACAACAGTAACAATCAAGTCAGCAATCAAAAACAAGACTGGCAATATTTCTGTCAGTACATGCAGTATAACTCCTCCGCACTCTGACTAAGCAAACAAAGTGTTAACAAAACACCAAGGGTTTCGTTGCAAATTACACCTCCTGATGTCCCCTTGATCCATCCTCTTCTAGATTGTTAATTCCCTAATTAATTAACCTGTAACCTCTGAGGTGAGACTTTGCTGTCAGATAACATTAATCAACAGTAATAATCAGGAAAACAATTCATTAGGCACAAAAACTTCACATGCAAGCCATGCACCTGAACAAGTTTAAGCCTGACTTTGCCAACCACACCAGCTTTGTTATTAATAAGTCATAATCCAAATCAGCTATCCGTCAAGTAATCAAAAGTGATAAAAATATCCAACGTCATAATGAAAGGTACAATACTGTGACAGTCCCTTTCATTAAACAGTCCACCTACTATAAATCACCAAACCACAGCAACGAAAATCCCAACAGTTGACGGCAGAGAAACAGAGTGGGAAACTGAGGGAGGTAACCCACCACGCTGATCTAAATTAGGGTCACAAAACATTCCCAAACATGTCTGGGCCAGCAGCAAAACAGAAATGTCAGTGGGCCGAATTGTTGATATAAGGATTGTGATTGGTAGATGAGGCATGGCATAATGTTACTACTATTTGACCCAATTCCATTTGTAAGAATTCATGAAGATTCCCATGATGTCATTGCTAAATATACTCATCTATATATCTCACTTCATTCATGACCCAAGGGGTGGAGTGGTAATCAAATTCCAATAACATGTGAAGTGGCTTAACCTGCCACATGGCTTATCTGAACTGTTAACCCAGCTTTGAAGTTCTTTATTCCAGTGGCGACTATAATACCAACATTTTGTTACTGTTAGACACCTTTATTTATTTTTGCATCTCTCGTATTCCCTAGACAGAAGAAACAGACCTTTTGTTTTTTAACCTTGTTTTTAAGTCCAATATTTAAAGATGATCATGTCTTATTTGTACTAACTTTTGGTCAAAAGAAAGAATAAGTGTCCCATTGTTCCAACCCTCAATTAAAACTGCCACTGAGTTTCTTTGATGCTAGAGAAAGGTTTTTCTCATATCCCAACTGCACCAGAGAGATTTGAGGGAGTTTCATGTAAGACGTATCTCTTAAATAATGAAACAGCAAAAGTTTAACTATCTCTTTACTTTATCAGTTGTCATTCACATGCCTCAAGCAGTTATGTCAGTGAGCTTCTAGAGTATTTTCATCTATGATCACTTACCCTAATTTTCAACAGCCACAAATCATGTCAATTTTATAAAGCACGAAGACCATAAGGGTGTTCCCGTTAAAACCACATCTCAAACTGTCATGGTGGCAATTCAAGTTTACACCAAAAGAGTGTAATTCAAAACCTGTGTGCCAAAGTTCTGCTTCTACTCTACCTGTGTATGAAACTGGTCATTTTTGCTAAGTACTATGAACACAATACTGGAAGAGGCCCTCCTTTCTAAACACAGTGATATGGTCAGGGTAGCATGAAAGGTCACCTAAATCTTAAACCCTACACCAAACAGACCAATGGCACAAAAACTGCTTGAAATTCATGGGACATGAGAATAGTGCCAATCTCCTTTAAACAAAAGTAAAAACTTATAGAGAGAGAAGAGTTTACTCACCTCTACCCATGCCTCTCTCTCCCTAATACGTTTGGTCAATATGGTACAAAAATTGTCATAGAGAAAAGTAGTTTTTGAGTGCAACATTTCTCCCTAAACACCCTTTTCTCAAATCCCCTCAAAGTTTCAACCTCATGTAATAGTTCATGATTTCAAAAAAGCCAGTAAAACCTCCAAGTTGAACATCTGTATGCCTGTCTACACTACAGGTGTGCAGTGTATGTTTAATGCCTGTACACGTTTTTTTTTCTTTCTTCCTAACCTCTAACCGGCCCCTCTCAAAACACATTCTTACATAGTTTAAATATTTGTCTTTTCACTGTCATGACATACTTCCATCCAGTTTCCTGATTTATTTGTCTCATTGTGCCTCTTACACCACTGTGGACACAATCAAACTTATCTCTGCTGATATTCTTTTTCAAACACGCCACTCAGGTATGCACCTTAAATAACATCCCCCAACAAAATAACAAACACGAGATTCTATTCAGCATTATCATTGTGAAAAAAAGGTACCTAACAATCATTCAACGAAAAGATCATGAATAAAGATTTCACCTGAGTAAATGTATTCCTGTATCTTAAGGTAGAAAAACACCTCACTTGAAAGTTCACAACAAAGCATTTCACCTTAATCAACAGCGGAATGCCTCATTTTAATGACTAATGAGTTCAATTTTGTTTAAATAAAGGGGTGAGTAATCTTTGGCTCAAAATAAGGTGCAATGGCTGTCAGTTGTCAAGCCATTTTTTCATTCCTATTAAAAGTAAGTTCAATATAAGTTTTAAATTCTATTTTCAATAGTAACACAGCAGTCCAATTTTACATACCAGAGGTGTTTCAAAGGCGACCATCCTGCTTCATGATGACTGGTAAAATAGTTTCCAAACATGTTCAGAATATGTCATATATTACACAGGCAGATGGTGGCTTCTAAATTCCTAATCCAAGTGCAGTTTTTTTAGCAGCAGCAGGTGGGGTTTTTAATGTCACAGTTAAATATTCATCACTTAAATGGAGAACAGGCAGCTTGAAATAATTAACATAGCAAATCTGTCAAACCATGTTAAATATCTCGAAAATTCCAAAAACAAAATAAAAATAGTTTTGTTGGGGGGGCCAATGACCATTAAATGCATAATCAAAGCTTTTATGTTGAACAAATTTATATCATGGTCATTCATTGGGCCTCACAAATATAAACCAACACCCTGTATATTAACATTATACATAGTAGAACAAACATGTTTAAACACATTCACAAATACCTTAGGGTGATATAACAAACACACCTACGGGAAATATAAAAGTATTCCTGTATACCTGGTAGCAAGTAATAAAATATATCCAATCAAGGAGCAACGTACATTTCAAATCAGGGAGCAAATTTTTTAATTTGAACTAACCGTTATCATCGCAGCACCTTGCTAGAAGGAATATCTTGAAAGGCATCTAACTAGTAAGAATGATAAAAATGTCTCCATCTCCACATTAATTCCCATTAATACTACTATCTTCCACTCCCAAAACAAATACCATAGCAAAGTTACTTACTAAAATCTCTTGGCTTTCATACAGCAGGTTGGTGTTCTTAAGGTATAGGGAAGACATTCACACCCCTGAAGAGTCCAGTGCTTCAATATAATTTCCCTAGCTAATTTACCCACAAACTGAATCACAACGTCCTGGTGTAATGGGCTACTTCAAAGTCGGTTCCCAGCCCCCATTAGTAGTGTCGCAGAGCACTGAAGGCACCCATTTGTGAACATGCAGAAAATGACCTAGTTTGGCAGCTGTGGTTAGAAGGAAAACATATATCTCCACCACAAGACACTACTATATGCATGAGTGTCATAACTGAAAGGATGGGTGTACAGTGTCACTCAAAGCACCACTGGCACACTGGCAAGTGGTGTGCAATAAAAAAGGTTACCATTACTCAACAGGCAAGTGGAATATATATATTGCAGATTGTTGAACATGAAAATAACACAATGCAATATAAGAGTAAAGTTTGCATTAAAAAAATCTTCCAAAAAAAAAAAAATATTTGGTTTCATTTTTTAATAGCAAATATGCACTTGCCCTGTTTATCAGGAGTTTGTCCTTTTTATATTTTAACTTCAAACAATGTCACTGGTAAATTTATCAAGCAAAAAAAGGAAAACTGTAAGTCCATTGTAGACAGCAAAATTAAAGGAAATATCTGAATTTCAATCAGCAGCAACGTAAATTATCAGTGCACTCCTCACCTAGACAGTCAACTCTAATTATCTCCAACAGATGGCACCAGCTATCAGGGTAAAGTGAACCACTCAGCAGATCTGATGGCACACCAGAAACAATACCCTAATCCTCATCAGTAGGAGAGGTATAACTTGCTGCAGTGCTAAACAAACACACTTATCAAATATAGGACCTTATATAACCTTTTTTTAAGGTTTGATGGATTCATTTGAGAAAAAAAGTCTTTAGTGTGTAACACTACCAAACCAGTTTGAGCAAGTGTTTACATCAACAAAACCCTTCCAAAGTTTGATACAAACTTCAATCCTGTTTATTTTACACTGACATCAGGGTCAAAACTTGATCTCAAAGCAACACACAGTGTAACCATGAAGAACAGCACAAGTGGCTGAGGTAGTGGAAACACAAGCATGTACAATATGTACCAGGGTTTGGCACCAGTTGAACATATATATTCACAAGAATGTGAGAGCACTGCTGGTAATATATATCAACACACAATGAATTAACTTCATTCCTCACATTCCATTTTAGGTGTTAAAGTAATTATAAGTTTCTAATGCAAATCAGACTCTCACAATGAAGTTGCAAATCTTCAAAGAAAGGTTATAGTCTTATAGATGGCTGATGTACGTCTTCTTGCGTAATTATCAATATGCAGACATTTTAATAAGAAATACACACACAATCAAAAAAATGTTCCATTACTCACTCCTTGAAACAAACACAACAAGGACAATATTGATCTAAAAATTTAAAACTTGAGTCTCTTCTCCCCTTACACAGTTCAAGCTGAGAAAATTTCACACAGATGAGGCTATACTACTTCTGAACAAAGCATACCTTTGGCCGTCTTCTAGATCTTGGCAAGGACATTCCCAGTAATTCCAGTTAAAGTTAGTTTTTCCCAACTGAGCTTCTACTAACCAAGTATGAACCACCACTGGAGTCTGTACTATGTTCTAGCTACAGAATCTGGTTCCAATTTGACAGCAGTCAACTGTTTATACATTCTTGCTGGATACTGCTATCACATGAGCTACAATTACTTTGAGATCGGTAGGGGGGTTAGGTTGCCATATTTGCCTCAACCAAATTCTCTTACAACAGGAGGTTTAGTCATTAAAGCAACACATTCTGTGGTGAAACCAGACAATTATCAGAATCATCACAGTGTGTTTCCATAGTTTTATATTTCCAATATCAACTGAAGAATCTAAAGTCTACACCTCCACCCTTTGCCCCATTTACTGTTTTTGTCTTGTGCGATCTGGTTTTGCTTGTAACCACTCCCCTTTGAATTATGGTAGCTACTTTTGCTCAAAATGAAAAACAATGCACAGGCACTAAGTTTAAACCACAAGCTCATTGGCCATATCAGAAAAAAAATGGGAGGAAGTTTCAAAGTTCAACAGGAGGGCTGTGTTATCTGAAGTAGTGTATCTGATGGACCAACATTAAACTTTTTCCACTTCTTGCCACGCTTTTTGAATTCTGAAACTACCGTTGTGACAGACAGGCTGTGATAAAGTCACGACAGGTTGTTTCCCTGAAGCTTACCCTAAGAATTTATTACAAATCAGATAAAAATTTGCCAGAGCTAGACCCAATATCTAGCACCAATATCTAATTAATAATGTTCAGTGTTAATTAAAATAAATACTATCTTGCCAAACATAAATGCAAGCAGGTGCAGCTACTCCTTTATACAAGTTTTATATAGACCTAAACTATTTTATGTTCAAAGGCGCAAAAAAATTGACTTTTTCATCAAAGTTAAATCTGATAAACACTTGAAAGTGTGCTTTTGAAAAAAGAGGCCACAGGATTTCACATGACAAGTTCAATTATGTTTTTTTTAGTAGATTGTGCTGTTTTTTACACATACCATTTTCTTGTGCCCGTTTTATTTCTCATACCATTCCAATACAAGACCATTACATATTTATTTGCCTGTTATGTTTAATATAATTTTTCTTAAGATATAAAATAATCATTATTCTACCATGATTATGACATTACCATAGGGCACATGCCAGCCAAAAATAAATTTCAAAAATAATAATAACTGTAAAAATAATGAACCACAGAGCTATACACTTTTCCCAGGATCCTTTATATGCTCTTCCTCTCACATCAGAAATATAAAGTAGGTGTAATTTATAGTTATGTCATGCTTTGTTTGTCTAACCCTCAACTCACTCCACTTCAATACCTCCCACTTAATGTGCAGCCAGTGTGTGTTAGTTATAGAGGTAGTTGCTCTCTTAGCACCTTGCTTCACCTGCCTGGATGAATTAACCTGCAAACACCTTTACATAGGAAAAGGGACATGCTCTGACCTATACTTAAACGACTAAGCTGTCCACCTTCTCTGTAGGGTGCTTATGGCTTTCAGACTGTCAGGAATCAACTTTGCAAGCTACTGTTTGTAGCTGATGACAGCTATACCTGTGCTTATACACCTGTTTAGTTCTAAAAAAGGTGGCAGATTTCTCGATAGCTTAACCAAACATTTTCCCCATTGCCTCCCTGCTTTAAACTTTGCACACAGTCCCACTTTTATGAAAAGCGTTAATAAAAAAGCGTGGGATTAAATGCAAAAGAGAGTCAAGGTCATGATAAATGTATGTTTGCTAAAAGCACAAATCACTATTTTTGAAACATACTGCCGAGACCATTTCTACATTTCCCATACAAACATAAGTGCTCTTCAATGTTTCAAAGACATTTTATCTTCTTAATTAATTTACTTCAAAACAAGGATTACCCAATATGATATCCTAGAAAACTGCCAGGAGAGATCTTGCATTATTTTTTCCAATTAGGTTTAAATGAAATACTATAACTTGTGTATGTATGAATGACAATAACATGCAATCAAACACATTCAATAGTAAAAAGTAAAAAAAAAATTCAATCTGACTCACCTCCTCTACTTCAGATTCACTATCCATGGCCTTTAGTTTATCTATAACTCTTCTTGTTGGGGACTTACTTCTTTTTCTTTCCCCGGATGGGCTGGAGGGGGTTATGTTGAGGTCATCCCTGAAATAATACATGTAGTTATAGTTCTCGTACTGTTGATAGTACATGTTGCCTCTATTAATGGAGTGGCCTGTCCCTTCTGCTGCTTACACTCCACTATCACTCAGTGTTCAATGTACAGTTTATTCAGTGGTCAAGCTCACTGGGCACTGTCCACTGTATCACAGTCACTGCAGTTGGATATGTGAGTGTGTAGCTAAATGGTACACTTGAGTTGATCCACGGGGCACCTTCCACTACTACTTGTGAATGGTCAAGAATTGGCCTTACACTGACCACAATGCATAACACTGTCTCCCTGACAAAACTACTGGGCATTCCACATAGTTGAAGCATTCCTCATATTTCACAAAATGGTCATGTTGAAGGACTCCATTACATAACCAATACAACAGATAAGATCTACAGGTTATAGAAAGAACTACCTAAGGGAGGCAACAGAGGAACTGGAAATTAAGAGCTTTCTTAAATCATTAAGATGCCTTGAAATTATGTCCCGGTCACTGACTATTCATTATTTAAATTGTATGCTAGAGTTAATGATTAATAGCAGGTTGCTGACCAGTGGGTTGGGTCAGTTCCTCTGTTTCTGATGGTCATGAGATGTGGTCAGGGACTGGACAGTTATTACTAACAGACATTTACATGGCCATCATTTTTCCCTCTATCGGTTCAGTACTAATTCTTTCCATGCCTATGCTGTATGACACATTTGTCAAGTCTTAATGATGATTGCCTGGACAACTGTTAGCATTGAGATAAACTTTTTAAAAATTTTTTAAAAATTATCCAAGAAAAGTACCAGAACTTCTACATGTTATCATTTTTTACTATTCTGAAAGAAATTTAACATGATGATATAACCTCAGCTTTGGGTCCTCTTCATTTCTCCATCTTCTCCACTCTCTTTTTAAAACCATATAATAATGACAGTGACTACCAATGATTATGTGACCAAATAAAAAGTTATATTCTCAGTATGATGTAAAGTCATTTGTGTTAAGGTGCATTTACAGTCCACTTGTGACAAAGTTACTTAGAACTTTATACTTTCAGTAGACTGAAATTTAGACCGATTAAGATTTCCACCAAAAGGGACATAATCTGATTCCATTTTGTCTTGCCAACTTCCTTTATGAATTGGTTAAAGGTGTTTATATTGCCTTACCTTAGGGAAGTCTAGAAATCATAATCATTCTCTACTGTGATGGTTTGGTACTGAGTTGAGCACAGATATCCTTTTTTACACTGAGAAGTTAAGTTTTCTTTACTGCTCCAGTTTGAGAGATTGACAACTGGCTTTTACATAAGAAAGTCACCTAAATGGAGCCATTGCAGTGGACATGGTCAGTTTTAACCAGAATCATTTTTTTTTATTGGTTCATGAGGGGTTGTGAAAGGAATTAAAAACCTATTGTAATTACAATGTAACATGTTAGGACCAGTCAAACTGATGTGGTACAAAAAAACTGTAGTGTGCGATGTAAAAAGTGCCTTATACGTGCCTTTAGACTCCGAAACTAGATCAAAGTCAGACAATCGCATCGTATACATGTGAATGAGTCCCTATATAACATTGTTATCTCAGATTGTGGTCAGACTCCATCCACAGAGTCATCATGATAAACCGTCAGGTATGTGAAGTCCACTCCTAATGCATTGTCTGAGATCTGTTAAATTGATATCAACACATGCTTCAATTACATAACAGTAATGCAACCCACTAAAAAATAAAAGTGTTTAATCTTGAAATAATTGTCCCATGTTTGATATCAGTTTTAAAAATATAAAAATTACAGAAAATAAAGGCATGTTCACACTGAGCATTATAATTAAGCAATATAGCTGCATCATTCTTTTGAGAGACTAACTTAATAACCTGGCTATTAGATAATAGAGCTAAGGAATAATGCTTGATGTGAAAAAGGCTTATTTTGTGCTTAATTCAACATCTGTTATTTTGTCACAGAGTGCTTTTTTATTTACTACTCCTTTAGGGTTTATCCCCAGATGTTAAAAGAAATACAATGCAAAATCTAAATAAAATCCATACTTACTTCTCAAAGTTGCACAATCTTTCTCCTCTCTTTTACACACAGTGACAAAAACAACTGTTATTTAATGCATCTCCTTCCCTGCAAATGTCTGATTTTCTTAATATGCTCCTACCATGCAATATAACACTACCGTCACACATGCGGAGAACAAAATCCTTCTGTTTTGGCACATCTTTGTAAGCCAAGGACAACAAAAAAAAAACATACACAAGGAACATGCTCAAACTAAGAAAGCAAATAATGGATCAAATCTATAAGGCACATAACGCTTACTGAAAACCATGTGTTTTTATACAGTTTCATAAACTTAAAAGTTATAAATTCTACCAAATCACCAGAAACAGGTTAGACGTCTAGACCCATTATCTGACAATTACTGCTTTCTCATTCCTAATTTAATACTATACATTATTTATTTATATTTAAGACCATTCAAATAAGTAGAAAAATGTTTTTTTTTTAGTTATTCTTCTGGCTTCAAATCATAATATATTCTACTGTCACCATCATTTTTCTTCCAGTAAATCCCATCAGTTCTCTGTCCTGTTCCTGTCATAATATTGAAACTTTATTGTCCTGCAATTCATTCTTGCAAATGGTCATTAATTCACTTTATCTCACCATAGTTTCTTTTTTAAACTCTGTGGCAAACATGAAAATCATGACTTGAATACTAGATCTGTATGACTATAAAATAGATAAGTCCTAAAATGATGTTCTATCAGTTTTCTTCAAACTGTCTGCACGTTTTTTTTTTTTTCTTTTTTTATCTTCTTTGATGACTTGTAACTATTGAATTTTTACTCTGGAAACAAGATTATTGATACTCATTTTCAATTTATGGTGACTATAACTCACTTAAGCAGACTGCCATTAGTATAAACACTCTATGTCAGTAGTCGGGATGCTTTCAAAATTTATCCTTACATTTAAAAATTCATTCTCATACACACACTGCCACAACTTCACATTTAAGAAGTATGCGAAACATTACATCATTAACCTCCCATAATCTTAAGTAAACCTTTACCAATAAGTTGCTGAAATATCAAATCAAAATTCAAGTCAAGTTTTATCAACCTCCAAAAGACTTCACTACACCAAACTACATGACACTCTGCTAGTCTGCCTCAGAGAACAAATCCTCACTTTCTTCAATGTGTTTTATACCTTCTTAAAAATTTACCTCAGTATTTCCAATTCAAGTCGGCCCTTGTCTGAAAGTTACTTCTGTTTGTCAGGGTCTGTTTACCAAATGGTCACACCTCCAACATGACAGGCAGCACAGCCAGACAAAAAAGGCAAAAAAGAGTTCTGCATCTAAAGTGTATCTCTAGCTCTGCAGGTACCCTTATACACACATTGTTATTACCCCAGCTAAAATGGTAGTGTGTTTCCATTTACCTGAATCCTGTTGATTTTAGGTCAGACGGTAAATGCTGAGCTGAATAATAGAACCTCTTCATATATGAACTACATGAGGAAACCACTATACCTCCATATACCAGTAAAAAGCCTAATATAGTGCCACCGAGTTCCGTCTCTTTAATCCAAGTCTGTTTTTCTTTTCATATTTATTTTTCTAAAGTAGAAATAGAAGACAACAATTCATTGTCAAGGTACCTTACTTAGTCTTTTAGACGTCTCTTCAGGATGTTAACTGACGTGGAATGGTTTGCATTAACTGTGCCTAGATAACAATGACAATGCTCCTCCTGTGTACCATTATCTATGAGGCACACTTTGCATACACTTTAAGTACCATTTAGAAGTCACAGCTCGACCCACTGTCAGTTAACAGTACTTCTTCAACACTCATATTATTACAGTAGTTCAATCTTCTTACTGCACAAGTCACAGACCAGAAAAAAAACTTTCAGCCAGCACATGATCACTGTATTATATAACTCAGGGTAATATATAGTGTATTCTAATAAATATTTTAATAAAATAGATCTTAAAAGAGCATAATTGAATATTTATAGAAAAACTACTGTTTTGCACTGCGCAGTAGTTTATCTAGGATATAAAAGTGTGGTATTTTAAAGGGGGGGGGCAAGCTGTTGTCTGTTATTTATGGAAAGGGTCTATCGGTCTTACACAATGTAACCTAATATTGGAAATTTAGATGAATTAATGACAGTTCAAACCATCAGGCAGGTTATGTTATATAGAACTATTATATGGTACCAATTTAACATCTGTCAAAATACACAGCTATGCAAAAAACACTTTCATATTACAAAAACAATGAGTAGATGTAGAAACAAACATTGTTTTTAAAAACACATCTGGAAAACTGTTCATTTTTTATAAAGTGATTGGGTATTGTTTCCTTAAATTATGCCAAAACAGCTCTGCAGCCTCCAACTTGTTTCATGTCAAGCAAAACTGATCTCCCGTCCATAGTAATAAATTTCTCAAAAAGTTTCACAGTAAGCTCACCTGTTGCTAATTTTTTGAGCCTTCCCTGCTACACTCTCTAAACCTGCCAAAGCTCTGTCTCTCTCATCTTTCATCTCCTGGTAGTGGCGAATGGCTTGGTCCCTTTCCTCCATGGCACGGGCGTTCTCTCGCAGAACCGCATCACGCTCTTTTAGAGCAAGTTCAAAACCAAGTTGCAGGGCCTGGGTAGGGGTTTTATCTTCTGATAACACGTCTGGAAAACAATTGAGTTATATAGATAAATGTGGAATGTTAATCAGCTGTATATTGTAAAACTCGATATTACAAAACTTTGTCATCAGATTTATTACTGCTTGTACCAGATGTGGCCCAAAAGGGCTGAAGTCTAGACAAGTTTGGTCAAAAGACTGACCACTTAGGTGCTGCGTGGACAGCTACTGTATAAAAATTTCAAGGGCCATTTATGGTGCACAAAGGTGTAGTAAAGAAGCTAATGAAGAGTATGTGAACTACATGAAAATAAATCCACATCTATCAGTCATGTGAGGTGCTAGCTCCTCACACAAGCCACCTGAAATTGTGTTATTTTAAAATTTGGCCACACTTAAGTCCTATATGCACCGCCCAGATGCAGAGCTGCATACACAACAATAACAAAAGCAAAATGCAATAGAAACATTCATCTGGAAAAATTCATTCAAAATTTTCATAGCTTTTTTGTAGCACATACCTCCTGTGTTGTGAGGAATCAATCTAACCTAGTTTTTAGTGTAAATTTATTTTGTAATCTAAAACTATAAAAGGGGAGGGGGTTTAGAAAAAAGAACATAGTTGCATACAGTTGTTAAATGATACCATCTTCATGCTAACACAGTCTATCTGTTTAACCATCCTTCCTTTGTAAATTTTATAATACACCTTTACAGACATAGTAACCCTCATAGAAACACCAGAACTTGCCAGACCACAACATTTTAGATAGTTTAAAAACATGGCCACTCTTGGCCAGTCATTGAAGGTGAGGCAAATCAATCATTGTGTCAATCAAGCACAGCCCTCAGTTAACATCAGTGGCTTCCATGATGACTATCCCACTCTCTTGTAATCATACCATTAAACAAATTACACCATGTAACATTTGAAATATAATTCCAAAACTGGTAGTTTACCCAACACTTGTGATAATGATGACAACTTAAAGAGTGCCAATAATACATACTTCCTCAAATCTACCAAAATGATAGTTTTCAACTTACCCATTTCATCTGGCTTTAGCATCTTTCTCAGTCTCAATCACACCTTTTAAGACGATCCGGTAACTAAATCTTAATCTACAATTACAATGCCTTTTACTAAAACTATTTAATTCAAATACATGCATCCAAATATCCCGATAACCTGTGACCTGGCTACATGACAATGTATGCTAGAAGATACAAACTGGTTACGAAAAAAATTAGTTTTTCAATCTATCCTAGCCTAGATATTTCCACCCAAAATTACCCGGAACTGCCCCCCTTCCCTGATCAAGTATAGCACCAAGACCTCACTATCTGAGAACTTATTTACTTAAAGAAGAAACAGCCTCGGCAAGACGGCATATAAATTTTGCAATAGCTCTACACCAACAAAGAACTGCAATTTCTTCATCGACTCACCTCCTCCCCCTCCTCGCAGTCCACCAACAGAATACCATCTTTTTAAGGAAGTCATAGTAAATCCAGAAACAGAGGTGACCAGTACAAGTTCAAGAAGTACATGTATATAGGTCTTAGAATGTGCCACCCTTTGCTCCAATGAGCTCTATTCCCTGCAGGTCAGCAGCAAGAAAAAGGCTCCCTGTACCTGCCATAAACCCATTGATCTACAGCAGGCTGTACTACACAATACAGTCCCACCAAACCTGATCAATGGGTTGCACAATACATTTAACGCTGTTGTTTGTTTTTGCAGGTAAAGTAAATCAATAGAAGGCCATTGTTCCCAGCCATTCAATAGCTTGATTCTTACATTCCCATTTAACTGATATTTAGGAAGCAAATAGACTCAGGTAGCAATGATAATACTACCCCCTCTGCTACGAAGCATCAATGCACCCCTCGGCCATGTACATTCCTTTGATCTACTAAAACCATCACTTAAGCATACCAAATAGCACTATCAAAGAAGAGATCATAAAAGCAATATATCTTTTTTATGAATGAAATTTGTAGAGTTCTGCGATTTTGTTACTTAGGAACCCATGTCCTAATGTCTTCAGGTTGATCAGGCAATGCAAACTCTGTTTAGGAAAGATATTCAATGAAGGCGATTGCTCGGGAGGTCCAAAAATGATTCAATAATTAGAAGGTGCCTCAATTAGTGGGTGCCTTAAATAAAAGGCTAATATTTTGAGATAAATATACCAATAGACTGTTTCCATATAGGATTTACTCTATTTCATACACACCTGCAGTTTGGATATAATAATCTTGTGTACCAGTTAAATTTTCATATAAAATCAACTGATTACTTCTATACAGTTAATTGAGCTGCTCAATTTTTTTCATATACCTTTATTCCATTGAGGTTAATATTTTGTAAATAGCATTAGCCACTGAAATTTCCTATAACTCCCTTATCATTGATATATATGAATAAAACCTTGCTTTAAGCCCACATAACTAGAATTTCAAGCAAACAAGTCATGATCAATGTATTTACATGCCCTGGGCAAACTATTGTGGTGGATACATATTTATAAACACAGCGACAGGCTTGAGCATGCAATGGTGACACCTATTGCCTAAATGTGTCACTAAAGGCAAGATATTGAAACCATTCATTGAAGCAAGCAAACTACATATTTGAAAGTCATTTTAAATAAAATCCTAACATTTTCTTTTTGATTAATAAAATTAATTTTACAAAATTGTACACAAGGTCCTTGATTGTCAATGTCCGGGTTGATTTTTGTTTGGGACACAACAAGGATGGGGGGAAAGGTGAATTATGTTTGTTAATTTTGATAACCCATATCTTTCTCACCAAAAGACACTCACTGAGAAAATTAATACTATGATATTTTTTTGCTTCTAAAGAAGAATGCAGATATGTTTTGTCCATCAAAAGTCAACTCAAAGCTATTTTTCACAACTTGTGATGATTTTCCCTTAAAATGATAAAACCAACTCAAATGCAATAATTATGTTATAGTGGACAAGTCAATGCTTAAACAAAAAATAGAAAAAAGTACCCTTCTCTCGCAATATTATCAGCAGAAGAACAAAATTAAAATTGTCAAAATATTAAAGTTGAACTATGATATGCCTCCTCACTCTCTATTAAAATGTCACCTATCTGTCAGTGAGCCATCTCTGTATCTGTGCGAATAAACAAAGCGCAGATAAAAATTGGGAAGGTAAGGGGTGTAATTGGGGGCCCTGGGAGGGGTGTGAACAATATGTTTTGTGTACAAATGATGCCGACTGCTAGAACAAATAAGCCACCTGCATACCAAGGCATCAAAGATCAGGATAGACTGTCAAGGGCTTGTCAGGTGATAGGGCATTCAATATCAACAGAAAGGGTATAGTAGAGTGGCTGAATTGTCTACCTCAATACAAAAGAACAGTTTGTAGTAGAGACTTTGTTGACAGACATTTATGTTTGACCAGAGAAAAGATTAGTGGCAGCAAATATTTTGTATAGACAAGTCAATTCATATATCATACATCTATGTTTTTCTATAACAAAACATGCCTGGGGGGAGTTTCTGTTCTATAGTCCTTATTGTTAAAAAGATGCAATTCTTTGAGTCCACATCAGAATATTTAGTATAACTATCTTTTCAAATATTCTTGAAAAATAGATTACAACTTTATTCCATTTCTCAATACATTACGCTTTCCCTGGCATAAACCCAGTTGATAATAATTGCTATTAAGTAGAAAATCTGTAAGACTAGAAGTTGCTAACAGCAGTTCTAGTCATATCTAACAGCTTTGGGGAAAATCAGCATACCTGGAAGACTTCTACACCTGTCAGCTAACGGTCATTAAGACTGACCATTGCCAGCTGGTAGTAAAGGTTAAATGGACATCACCAAGAAAGCCTCACACGCCTAGCATGCCACATTTTATTATAAGAAAACAGCACATGTACATGTGACTGAAAAAAAAAAAAAAGTTTAACCAACCTAACCAACTCCCTTCCTTATATGGACGTGACCAGCAATTTGTTTTCAAGGTGTTACTTTCAGAACCAACCAGAATCCAAATGCATTTCAACTGAGGTGTTAATGTGGGTTTCATGTCTTTGATTAGTTACATAAATAAACCACCAAGTGTATTATAACCTCATTGGGCACCATATGGATTTAAAACCATAGGTACATGTGGGTAACATGAGACTTAAGCTGATCAATAACATTAAAGTACATGTACATCAAAGTAACATACAGTACCTATAAATATAAAAAACACAAACTGCCTGCTACAACAGAAACTTATGTGCTTTTAATATGCCCATTACTTGTAGTTAAATGCCAGCTCAGGTATAACACTGAGCCTTATTCACCATCACCAATTTATTTTTTTCAAATGCATATTACGTCACAATACAGGTAGATATAGCTATCAATTATTATATGCTTGTGATCATTTTTGGTTCATCAAAATATTATGCCCTTCAAAAATACATAGAACTCTGAACTGTAACATTATAACGCTTTGACTGGGTTCCATACCTAGATCGATTTTACAGGATTGGTCCATCTTCAAAGGGTTTCTCACTAAATTGCTTTTAGTTTAAGCAGCTTAGATATCTGGCACGCCTACTAGAGCTGCTAAAAGATAATTAATTACCCCCTAGCTGCTTAAGTAGGCATGACATCTAAACCGCCTTAGTTGATTGCAATTTAACAAGAATCCCTTTGGAGATAGATCGATCCACAGTTAGTACAGTAGGCTTTGGGAATGGTCCCTTTGGCACAGGCAGTATTCCCCCCCCTCCCCGGCCCACTTTATTTATTTTTTTTATTTTTGCTTTTCAAGTTATATTGATGATATTTTTTTTATTTGAAAGATCATTATTATTTTTCTACATTTTTGTCCATTAATGTCTGCATTGAATATTATTGAAACTACATGAAAATTCAAGTCTATATAGTAATATAATTTAGAAAAAGAAAAATAATGCAAAATTGAGAGATACGCTAGTGGTATGACAACTAAATATTGAATATTGGTTTTTAAAAACATATTTGGAGTGCACTTGCATTTATGTTTTCTATCAACAACTACAATTTCAAGCCATTCTGATGAAGAATATGGAGATAGATCGATCTACAGTCAGTACGGTAGGCTTTGGGAATGGTCCTTAGGGCACAGGCAATACCCCCCCACCCATTATATTTATTTATTTATTTGCTTTTCAAGTTATATTGATAATACTTCTTATTTGTAAGATCATAATTTTTTCTACATTTTTGTCCATTATGTCTGCATTGAATATCATTGACACTACATGAAAATTCAAATCAATATAGTAATAATAAACAGGGGCGGATTTAGGCCGTCTTCTGGGTCTTCCGGAAGACGGTCAGATTTTCAAGTTAACATTGATGGGTATCTAATTATTTCTGTCGGAAGACGGTCAAAAATGAAGGATGAATCAACAAAGATATTTTGGAAGACTGTCAGAAAATATCTTTGGGTTCCCCCCTGATAAATTAGAAAAAGAAAAATAATGTCAAATTGAGAAATACACTAGTGGTCTGACAACTAAATATTGATTTTTAAAATCATTTTTGGAGTGCACTTGCATTTTTGTTTTCTACCAACAGCTACAATTTCAAGCCATTCTGATGAAAAATATGGATGTTATGACATTTTTAGCAAAGATCATAATCAGTTTCAGTGTCATTCTGTGGAATTAATAGGTTTTCCAAGAAGGTGACTTAAACAACTTTTATGACCAGAAAAAGGTTAATACAAGTGGGTGGATGAAAATAAACAATGAACTTTCTTTTCAAGATGCATGCTTTAGTTGCTGAGGTATACTACATCTGTGGGTTAGTCTCCCCTCTTAGCCCTCATCTGAGATATCAATCTACTAGTAGGTTCTTTTTAAATTAAATGCAAATTTTTCCAAATACACGTTCCCATCCGCCAATCTATGCATCATATTGTATTTAAGTATTTCATCTCATGTCCTATGTCAGCTCTTGTCTGTTGACATCACAACGAGGCCTGACATTGGGACAAACAATAGCTTGACTGGCTGACTTGGGGAATTAATGGCAAAACTATCTATAGTAGGTATATGATAAATCATACCAAACATTCCATTTTCTTACAAAATAAATAAATAAATAAATACATATGTTATTATCATAACTAAATAAGGACAAATGATTAGTTACTTTTATCCCAAACAAACAGGTGTCATGTAAATTGTAAACATTGCAAATGGGTCACTGAATTTTAATTTAATAATAAATATACAGAAGTACTCAGTAGCTAACTATCTTGTATATCAAACAAGTACGTTCAACCTGCATGCAGTTTGTTATAAATTGGAACTTACCAGGGTTGTCCAACAGAAAACATGTCAACAATCGTGGATAGGTGTTTTCTAACGTGGAACAAAATTCATGAAATGCTGTTAGCCCCTTGTGTGCAAGGATGTCGATAAACACCTCCGTTCGGCTCCTAGGGTCGGCTGAGGCCAAAATGTCATGCTCTTCAACACGAGTAAACACCCCCTTTTGGGATAAACTGGGCAAAATGCGGTTAACATCAAGGTCTCGTATAATTGTTGCCCTGTGTTTTGCTAGCAAACGTGCTACACCACCCTTCCCCGCCATCTTGTTGTCCCTTTAAAGAACCGCAAGGAAAATGTTTATGGTAAACATTTGCAAGGCCAAGACAAAAAAGAACTGGAAACTTTTGAGAGTTCAACAATAAAAAATTTACATCATAATTTTTAAAAAAGTTTATCGTGCTTAAAAACATAACTTTTTCCTCATTGAATGTAAAGCATTCATCAATTTTAATATTATCTTATGATAATTTCAAATTCCCTTTCGTACCTTTCTTATATTTTGAATGACGCCTCGTGTGTCGCCCTCTATAGTAAAAATCTACCGGAAAACACAAGAGGCAAAAATGGCTGACATGGAAGATTTGTTTGGTTCAGATGCCGATAGTGATAACGGTGAGTTTTATGATCGTGGGCGCATTTAGTATTGCCTTTAAAACAGCACAGCTCTTTCCGTGTGTTTCATTGCAATTTTATAACAGTGCGCGAAGGGGGATGATTGCGAACATGGAAGATCGTGTCACAAATTATTGTTTTGCGTTTTCACGTGTTTTGGTGAAAGGCTGAAAAATGGAAAAGTAGACTAAAATTAAGTAAATCAAACTTAATTGACTCAAGTGCAGTATGTAAGTATTCTTTGTGACACTGTAAGAAAATACTTTTTAGCACAGTAATGTCACTTCAGTTTAAGTTTAAAAGCAAGTTATTTAATTTAAAGATTTTTTTTNGCTATATATTTTAGGCAGTGGACCTGGTAGTCCAAAGAGTGGATCAGCCAGTCCTGCTCGAAGTGGATCTGCTAGCCCTGCCAGGAGTGGATCAGCCAGCCCTGCTAGAAGTGGATCAGCCAGCCCTGCCAGAAGTGGATCAGCCAGCCCTGCCAGAAGTGGATCAGCCAGCCCTGCCAGAAGTGGGTCAGCTAGTCCAGCTAGAAGTGGATCAGCCAGTCCAGCCAGAAGCGGATCAGCTAGTCCAGCCAGAAGTGGATCAGCCAGTCCAGCCAGAAGTGGATCAGCCAGTCCAGCACGAAGTGGATCAGCAAGCCCAGCTAAAAGTGGTTCTGCAAGCCCAGCTCGTAGTGGATCTCCAAGCCCAACAAGAAGTGGATCAGCTAGTCCAGCACGAAGTGGTTCAGCCAGCCCGGCACAAAGTGGATCGGGAAGCCCTGCAAAAAGTGGACAAGCTAGCCCAGCTAGAAGTGGATCTGCTAGTCCAGTTAGGAGTGGATCTGCAAGCCCAGCCAGGTCTTCCAAAAGTGGATCTGTTAGCCCAACTAGAAACCGATCTAGGAGTAGGTCTAGAAGTAAATCTGCAAGTCCAAGTAGAAAATCTCCTAGCCCATCCCGAAGGAAATCAGATACTGAAAAAGGTAAGATATATTTTTCAATAACCTAACATACTTGTTGACAAAAAATTGCCTACTACTAACTCATGTTTATTTTGAAATCTATGTTTCAACATAAATATCTTTGAATCATGTTTTTGAGAAACATTTTTTTTCAGCTGGTTCTGACTCTGATGAAGAAATTTCAAAGAAAAAGAAAACAAACATAATATCTAGTGATGATGAAGGCTCAATGTCAGGTGGTGAAAATAAAGGTATGAAGATAACAGAGATAGCCTTCATTCTTTATGAATTTATTTTGCTTAATCAGTTTTATTCTTTTATATATTTTAACTATTGATAAAGGTATGTTTTGTGAAGATCTAATTTGAGTGCTTGATAACAAAAGAAAGCGTTAATATGATATAATTTAGACTCATTTATCAATCAGTTACAGCTACTGCAGAAGACATATTTGGTGAAGGATTAGATATAAGCTCTGATGAAGAGGACGCAGAAAAGAAAAATGAAGTAGGATGCAGTTTGTTTTCTTAAGTAATGTTTGGTTTTTAAATGAATTAAGAGTTCACATTGTTTTCAATTGAAAATAAAGGTGCTAGAATATGGAAGCCCGGTCACATAATACCCAACTAATCATATACAGTGTCTTAAGTTACAGTGTCTATGCAGAATTTGACTTGTAATTGAGCAGCCTTCCTGTATTTTTACTTGAATAAATTGTGTTCAGGAAGGAAGACAGGAGGAAAGAATGGAGGATGGTGGAGAAGATGAACAAGAACCAGAGGAGATACCAGAGACAAGGATAGATGTTGAAATACCAAAAATCAGCACAAATTTAGGAAAACATTTGCATTTTGTGAAACTTCCCAATTTCCTAAGTGTAGAAACAAGGTAGGTTACTAGAACATAATACTGTATTTTTCTTGTCAATGGCATATAATCAGATAGCTGTTTATCTGCAATGTGAAATATTCCAGCTTATACAGGTTTTTTATTTGTCTGAATTACCTAACTTCACAATGTTGTCATTAGGAATGGATACATTGGAATTTCAAACTGGACAGTGTGGGATCAAATTTGTAAATGATAATTTGTAAAGTTTCACAATTTCATATCATTAAATATATATACTTGAAAATTGTTTTTACCCTTAGACCTTTTGACTCCAACACATATGAAGATGAAATTGATGAAGATGAGGTTTTAGATGAAGAAGGAAGGTCAAGGTTGAAATTGAAGGTGAGTATATTATAATGCAATGATGTTCAATGTAATGTTGACTTCTTTGATAATGACTGAGAAGTGATTTGTTGATATTATTGTCATAAAATATCTTTGTTGGTTGCAAAGTTTGATCAACTGAAAAGATAATCATGTGAATTTAAATTGCGTTGGTTTGCATTAATTTGCTTATTATAGAATCAAATCATCATCCGACCAAAGACACGTTGAAATCAGAGAGGATCATTTGGATAACAAGCACTTTTCTTTTGGATAAATTTCAATGGTCAAATCTGGGTGGCAAAATACACAAAACTGATCTTTGCATAATTTTCTTTATAAGATGTGTCTACTGGAAAATTTTTTTTCACAATTGATAGAATTGTTTACTGTACAACTTTACCAAAATCCAGATGAGTTGGGAAAGGATTTGTCCCATGTGCATTTGTTATAAATATGAAATACAATTTATAATGTGAGGTTGTTGTTCAATTGGTGAATGATTTTAAATCCTTTGAATATAGGTTGAGAACACTATAAGGTGGAGACCAAAGAAAGACGAGTTTGGCAATATCATGATGGACGAAAATGGGAAACAATTGAGGGAAAGCAATGCAAGGATAATTCGATGGTCAGATGGCAGGTACTAATGGATTTAAATCTCAACTTTGCCAGTTGTATAATTGAATAAAGGAAGCTGTTTTAAAATTTTGATAATGTATTTATGTTTTCTTTTTTTGTGGCTTTTTGGAGATTTGGAAACAAGTTTATTAAATTTGTGTGATCAGTTTTGCTCTTATAATTACTTCAGAGGTGGGCATGAACATGCCATGTGCCTTTCTCCCTGGAGAAAAAGCACCCAGTGGCACGGCTTCTTCACTACACATTGCATTTGAGCACTTTCTCATTCTGTCTCACCCCTCATAGTGATCAAGAGAAAGATGTTTCAGCAGTATTGTCCGTTTTCAATTTCAGCATGTCTCTTCATCTGGGTAATGAGGTTTTTGATGTCCACACTATGGGTCTCCAGGGAGATTACAACCACCTGTTTGTAAGGCAGGGTACAGGTCTACAAGGACAGGCTGTCTTTAAAACAAAACTTACATTTAGGTGAGATGTGATACAGCTCCACAACCAGCATTCTGTATTAAAAAATAATATTGACAGAAACAATTCGTTTAAATTGAACATGTTTTACTGATAAATTTATGCCGTTTTTTTACCATTTGGTTGAAAGTGACTCAGAATTTTAATGTGTGTTTAAATAAGATGTCTTATTTATCAAAGATTAATAAATATTTAAAACATACCCACTGATCACGATTTTGATCGATGTGTTGCATGTATTTTTGTAGGCCACATTCCACAGAGTCTTTCACACACAGAAAGATGACTATATCATTGGCAGAAAGGTCTAATAAAGCACAGAAAATACGAGTATTGCCTATGGCTGGCAAAGATCCAGAATCTCAAAAAGCAGAAATGATTAAGGTAAGTAATATTACTGCCAATTTGTATTTCCTTCGAGTATTGATTTAGACTTGTATTGGAACCATAATGCCTGTTTGATTTTTCTGCATTAAAGGAAATATTTGGTTTGATAATATAATTTTAGTTGTAAAATTAACTGTTATTGTGCAGTTGTCTGAACTTGTGTGTGCCCAGGTGACATCATTTCTTGGCGCATTGAAAATTTGATGAAACAAAATAGATTTGACTGTAGTGTGATTACTATAATGATTCAGACTTGCAAATGCTAATTGAGACAATAATTATCATTAGACATGGTTTAATTTAAATAAAAGAAATTTTACAAGATGAATGTGAATGTTTTTGATAGAAAGAAGAGGAAAAATTAAGGGCATCCATACGCAGAGAAAGCCAGCAGCGACGAATGCGTGAGAAAGCCCATTCTAGAGGTATAAGTCAGTCTTATTTAGAAGATGAGGAAGATGAAGATGAAGAAGGTGCTATTTCATTGGCTGCAATCAAAAAGTCTTTCAAAGAAAAAAGAAAAGGTGAGCATTGAACAGTTTCTTGTTGTACACAGGGTCATTTTTGTATACACACACACACCCATCCAAAGATACCCTTGCATTATTAAACCTTCAAATCTTCTTTTGATACCTTATGCAATTGCCTATTTGAATACAATGGTGTGGTTAGTTTCAATGTATCCTAGCCTAGCAGCAGTATTTTTGTGCTAATTTATTATTATTATAATTGTTATCTTTTTTTTTTTTTTGCTGATGCACCCTGTGAGGTTGAAAAATAAACCTGGGTTTTAGCAACTTCTCACATAGGTCAAATATTGCAGTTCAGCCAGGCATAGTTAAACAATTTGAAAATATACCCTGGACTAAGGAAATAACTATCTATTTACCAAATGAGCAAAAATGTTGATTACCATGGTAGTTGAATCATAAATGAAAATTATCAAACACAATCCGAAATACTTTCATACTGTTAACTTACCACCTAGCAGTCAGTGAGTGTCAACATCTACTCACATCAGTCTGATGAAGGCCTACGTGCAGGTTGGCCGTAAGCTGACGGTATGAAAGCATTTCAGCTTGTGTTTGATAATTTTCGTTTATAATATATTTACCAAATGTCGTGTTGCAGTTGAGATTTGCATTTAAAAGATCTATTCGAGTGCCTTGAGCATTATTATTAAGAAAAATTACTTATTGCCTGGTGTCATAGTGAAAGTAAACATTAATTTCAATAGCTATTTAAATAATGTTGAAATTTATTTAGTTCATTGTAATGTAAAAAGGATTTTTTGTCCAATAATTTTAGATTTCTGTCATCTGTTTTTTTTTATTTTTCCAGAGACTCGTCCTAATATTTATTCAGATAGTGAAGATTCTGCAGGATCAGAGAAAGACACTACAAAGGCTAACAGACTTATGAAGGCCAAGAAACTGGCTAGTGATAGTGAAGAGGTAAATGACTAAATATTTATGAAAATATCAAATGCTTTTACATTTGTATGCAAACTGCATGAGGTGTTTCTTAATTTGAGTGACATAAAATGATATTTTTTGAAGACTATAGTTTTGAAATGTTCTTTATAGTTTTCCAAGTGTCCATTATTGTTGGTGACATTTCCTTTCTTCTTTAGTGGCTATGACAGCTATAGAATTTTATTTGCAACAGTTAATAATTTGAAACAGCAGTTATTGTGCCATTTTTATACATTTAGTTTGCGCCGTTTTAAGGTGCCGCTGTCAAATCAGTAATACTGGGTAATAATATCATATTTTGCATTTTAACATTGCAGTCTGATTCAGACACAGAAGTGAAAAAGAAAAAGGCGAAAGTTGTAGAAGATAGTGAAGAAGAGGACTGATATTGAAAATCATTAAGTTAGGAGAAAAGAAAAAATTGGTTGAAATTGCAGTCATCACATTCCTGGAAAAAATGATCAAAAAGGCAAAGATTTTGTTTTCATCAAGAAACAAATCCAGGTGATTTTATAATTTTCAGGTGAAATCTGTGGTGAAAACAATTGCAGAATAGTTGTAAAAAACACTGGTTTACCTTAAAAATGTTTTTTTAAACAATTTCACCATGAAATGTGTACCTTGTATATTTTGTATAAAGGCTTTGTAAAAAAGAAATTAATAAATAAAACTTGTATCTGCTGAAAAGAAATATATTTCATTTACAGTATTGCATCTATTTAAAAAGGTCGTATTCCAGATCTGGCCAACAATTAGAAAATCCGCTTGATCAATAAATTGTATAAATTGTGTATTGAATTCAAATAATCTTTTCTAATTTGCTATAATAAAATCAAACATTTAGAAAGTTTTTTCAAAACGATTTTGAATAGTATGTCTTCCAGTAAATCACAATAACACGATAATTTTGGTTCATATATTAGGCTAATTTAATTGGCAAAATGGGAAAGTAAAACAGGCATACATGAGTTGTGAATACTTAAACATGGCCATTAGACAATGTGCATAATTATCATAATCAACTTGGAGTCTTTACAGGACACAAAAAATAAACAGCCATACTAGTAAATGGAGTCACATATATTAAATCTACTACCGTCTGATAAATTAAATGTTTTCATTAACTGGTACTGCATAATTTAACTAAAGCAATGCAGTACTGTGGCCTATTTCTATTTCTTACTTAAATCCATCCCAATAACTCTCTATGTGCAAAGAAAAACCTTTTCACGGCTACACAACATCCGTGAGATTTTGACAAAGGAGTACAATACATTCATCCAAATTTCCTCAAATAATTGCATCAAGTCCATCATATCTACCAAGAAGCATGTGATCAAAATGAAAACCTGTAAACAGCCCACACCACAAAGGAAGGTTAGAGAGATTTTAAAACTAGTCTAAAGGTACATAATGAACAATGGCTGTATTTATGAAAATGTATAAATTAAATGTATTAATGAATTAACTGGGGGTAACTTACAACTAAGCAAAAGATTTTACTGTGTTATCGACAAACAGCCATGATTACTCAAAAGCACATTTAAAATTTCCAAAAGCAGCACAAAAACAAATGCTGATTTGCAATATAACAGATACATGGATTAAAATAGTTTCTACTTGTAAATATTTCTTAAAGGGTATAATGAATATGAACTTGAATAAGCCATCATGAAATGAAAATTATGCTACCTCTCAGTCAACAAAGTGATCTATTCCCTCTAGATAATATAAATCCACTTGCTAAAAAGCTGCTGGTTTCATAATACACAAAACTGGGCATCCAGCTGGCCAAACTGGAACAGACCACTTTAAAATATATCATCATACACTCAATGAGGAATGGGTGAAACAGATGGACAGATAATGGTGTGTTTGTGAATTGTCTATGGAAGAAGATTCCATTTAACACATCTGGTATTTTTTAAATAGTAAATTTCCATCTGGATGAATTATGAAATGATAATGACCCCCATCCCAAATATGATATATCCCCAATTATCCTACCCCTTTCAACCCAACAACAATTATTTGTATTGGGCAAAATGTGTGATACCCTCCCCCCCCTTCCATTAGATAACTATGTCTTCAAATCTTCTGGATTTTTTCACCAACAATTACTGGATTAAGTTTTCGAAGTTGCACTTGAGCGTGCTCCTTGTAATTAAAAGTACAGTCGTGCTTGTCTGAGTAACGATGCAAGCCACAGAAAAGTCCACCACATCTGCATTCAAAACCTGCCAAGTAATCAAGAGTTGATTCATTACTATTAAAACAACAACAGTAAATCAATAGCATTCTTTATATTCCAAATGTCAAAGCCATATTAGTACGGTAATGACTCCATCTTTTCAATGAGGGCAACTGTGAATTTTTAAGGAATAACTGCTTGAGATTAGAACATAATTATATGAGTGGTAGCAACAAAATTGAAAAGTAGGCTACCCTAAATTCTATGAATTTTTTGTAACAAAAGCACCACAAATACTATACAGAAATATAAATTTAAAAGATGATCAAATCCCCCCTTCTCTCTCAGCATTACAAACCTGTTAATCCTACTTTCTTCTTGCAAGTAAAGCATCGGTTTTTCTTCTTGGGAGTCTTGTCTTTATCTGAGGAACTTTCTCCTGACATACTACTAGCATCATCATCCACCTGAACCTTGGCGGTATCAATTCCTCCTACAGAGACAAACAAATTTAAGAAAAAATTTACAGGACAATGCAAACTAGTATAAACTGCATGGCTGAGATCATTATAACATAAGTTTTTGTCAACCACAACAATGATAAATGGGCAAAACAGGCACCCATTTTTCATTTTCTTGAATCAGAGTATTTCTTCTTTTTAATTTGGTACACATTCCAAGTGCAAGCCTGAGCCCAGTCTGGATGTGTTCAATACAGTTTATATACATCTATTGATTTACCTACACCTCTATCATGTTCCTGAAATTATGCGTCCACAACAAAGGACCAGTATAATAATAATTATGCTCATGCAATTATCAATTACTGTTGCCTTTGTTGCTGTCGCATCCAGGCATACGGAAAGAGATAAATATACATCAAAGTCGACAGTTTTATTTTGTCATTCTGTATCATACATCTAAGATAAAAGGAGGACAATTTTCTTAAATAACACAGTGAATTGAAGTTCATGAATATCTGCCAGGTAAGTAATATGCCAAGGTGTGTCTACAGTTGGCAGCTGACCATCACAGTAAGGCTTTTCCAAGGACTAGATGAGATGCAGTGACCCCTAGTTAAAAATGACCATAAGGCGACCCCATCATTTGGAGTGAAACTATCCAAGACACATTGAGAGCCATATTGTACATTTTCCTACTTGAGGCATGAATGTATTTCAAGCCTATATTCATTCTGAATAGTCCAATTTACTACTATTTATCCAGGTCTGGGTCAAAGATTTCTATCTGGGGGTGATCATGAAGGGGTTTGAAGATCAATCTATCTTATCTTAACACCCCCAACTGACAATCATGTAATAAACCTGACTTCTACAGGATGGACACAATATACATGGCCACATTTCCTTATCACTTCTGAAGTACATATAGAGCACCATTCTATATTCAAGTAATCATATGGATTCCCACAAACATTGTCAAATTATCTTTGCAATTCATGCATTTTCATATCCCACAGATGCATGCTCAGGCCCTTCTTACTGCATAGACTATGATCTTGCATTGTGTAATGATACTTCTGTCTTAAAACTAAGCACAAACTCAACATGAAAGTACTCCTACATGTGGCATGCCTGGCTTAAAAATTATGTTTTGTTATCCCCAGTCTAGTACCTTTATTACCCTTTTTACTTACTGAATAAATATCAGCCTACAGACGGGTTTTTTTTAAACCTATATTATAAATTATTTGTTAGAAATGCTCACTTCTGACATGAATGGCAAATATTACTTTTAATTACTACAGTTAATACATAACATAAAAAATCAAACTTGCAATGATATTTACCTGTAGCACCCTCTTCTTTTTCTTCTCCTTTCTCCTGTTGAATTGGAGAAGGCACAGTGGGGCTGGCTGTTTCAACACTAGTGGAAGTAGACACAACTGTTCCTGCCATTGAGGGGACATCAGTGGTGGTAGCTAGACAGATCAAACATCTGAGGTTATTTATCTTATTATTTAAGCTATGCTTATCATATGCACAAAATGTTTATTTCATATGCATCCAAACTGAAAATTATCTGCATTCCCTGATCTAGTTTCAGATTAGTCTATCTACAGTCCATATCCAGTGTTTTGCAACTGAATATCATAAGGTCAAATACAATTCTTGCATAGATGGATATGTAAGGAGTTATAGTTGAATTCTGATGAAATACTAGGTAGAATCATGTCATAAACAAAACCATTCAGAAAAATACCTCAATTGATGTTTTCTAAAAATAAATAAATTAATATCAATAAATAAAACTNATATATGCTGAAAAGTGAAAAAACAGCATAACTTCTACAATAATGGCCCGATCATGCTGATTTTTGAACTTGACCTGCGTTTTATGAATATTCATCAGCTCTGTAAATATAAAGCCAAAAAGTAAAACTGCCTTCCACTTATCGTGTTTACAAGGAAAGTGCACGGCGACGGCATCGGCATCGGCATCGGCATCGGCGACGACAGACGCAGGTGATGGCAATATGTACAGACACATCTGTGTCTGTACATAAAAATCAAACAACAATTAACACTTGCAATGTTATTTACCTGTAGCACCCTCTTCTTTTTCTTCTCCTTTCTCCTGTTGAATTGGAGAAGGCACAGTGGGGCTGGCTGTTTCAACACTAGTGGAAGTAGACACAACTGTTCCTGCCATTGAGGGGACATCAGTGGTGGTAGCTAGACAGATCAAACATCTGAGGTTATTTATCTTATTATTTAAGCTATGCTTATCATATGCACAAAATGTTTATTTCATATGCATCCAAACTGAAAATTATCTGCATTCCCTGATCTAGTTTCAGATTAGTCTATCTACAGTCCATATCCAGTGTTTTGCAACTGAATAACATAAGGTCAAATACAATTCTTGCATATATGGATATGTAAGGAGTTATAGTTGAATTCTGGTGAAATACTAGGTAGAATCATATATAAACAAAACCATTCAGAAAAATACCTCAATTGATGTTTTCTAAAAATGAAAAAAATTAATATCAATAAATAAAACTTACATGTAGTTGGACTCATTCTGCCCCCTGCTCCAGATGTATTTTGCTTTCTTTTAAGGGCATCTTTAAAACATTTTGAACACATGCCATCAAAGGAGGCATTTCCATAAAATCCACATCCATTGCGACATAATGCAGATGGAGGTAAATTCTGATTGTCGTTTTGTTCCATTCTATACTATGTCCTGAAAACATGAAATATTATTTTAAGTTAATCTGTATTTACCTTTGTGCTTTTTATCAATATTTCTTTACAAAGGAGGAACTGGTTTTCACTGGGATTCAGTAGTCTATTTGTACTGGGAGAAAATCTTTCATTGCAATTTGCAACTCAAATCAATACAAACTACAGAGGGACTGTCTTTCAAGGTAAACACAAATTTGGCAAGGTCAATGAGTGAGTCATCAGCTATATTTCCTTTGTCCATAAAACGTTAACTAAGTAATGATATATACAGTAACAAGTATAATATAACAATACAGTGGATTACCTTGTACAGGTTTTATAATTTTTACAAGTTTTTTTTTTAGATAATATAAAACAATTATATCACAATCAGGACATCCTATACACTAATACCTGTTATATTACTTATAACATAAAAATATCTGGACAGGTAAAATCAAATCAAAAGAATACAGGACAGTTTCTTTTTGGGAAAAGTGAACTATTATTCTTAAAAGCTATCTGCAAAAACTGGCACGGTAACTTTTAACACGATCAGCTGATGTGGACCTTTAAATTTGTGAATCCACTCCCTTTACGTAGTGGATGGCATTACACACTTTGTGTATTTAATCTACATTTTATAAAGCAGATTCTTAGTAAATTTTCCCAAAATATTTCATAAAACCACCTATATTCGATAAAGAATAGTACATTAACAACACATCTGGTAGATTTGAAGCGTTGAAATATCAAAAAGGAGATTCGTTGTCAAGATGGCGAAAGCAAGAATGATTCAGGAAATTTGAGTTTTCCTTTCTTAATATGCTCCTCAAAGAGCTGAAGAAAAATTAACATCTAAAACACTTACCAGTAACGGCAATACGGATGTTTCAAAGCACCATTAAATAATATCTAAACGTTAAAAGACTGCAAAAGGCTTTGTCCCTAATTGTTTTAGTTGACGAAACTGATCCTCTTCTATGTGTTGTCATATGACTCAAACTACGCAAGGGGATTGGTTTAATACTTTCATGAAACTGAGGCACGACTGACGTCATAAAGGTTGATCCCTTGTTTTTATTTTTAGCTCAGCTGATTCAGGGGGGCGCCTTGAAAGAGAACTAGACTAGTTCTTTCTATTATTTTTTGTGTTTACATAAACTTGACTGTGCACGTCAACCGGTTATACCTTTAAATATGACACCAATAGCTTTCTCGGTTATTTTGATAAGGGCAAAAGACAACTCTTTATTATGAACCCAGTTTTTTAGAACACCTTTCCTAAACTCATTAAATTAGCTAGGGATAAACTATCACAGTGGCTTCAACTGTTTGCTTGTATCCATCAAACAAAAACGCCAATTAACAAATTTATCACATAACATGATACACACACACATATATATATATATATTTTTTTTTTACTAAATTGATAAGTCAGACATAATGATGAATAACTGAAGCAAGATTCACCGGAAATTCGGCCCCACCCGGAAGTTAGTAAATACATATAGAGTGAACAAAAGGATGGCTGACAGTGGTGCTCAGGTCTTAGTACTCGGTGGTATGTATTCGTGACCTCAGATCGCCTGTGGGCTGTGACACATTGTGTGATAGTTCTGATTTTTAGTAATGTAAAAATTGACGGTTTCTGTAATTGATCCACAAAAAAAAATCTGATTGAAGTATTATTTGTCCAAGCACCACAATTTTTAAGTTTTATCACAGATATCAGTTAATTAAATTATGTAACACTGTTGTTTATATTTTAATTTAAAAAGTCAAAATAGCCAAATAACTTGTATATCAGCACAGCATTATCTGAATATAATTATATATTTCCAATTTTTTTATGAAGTGTCAGTAAAGAAAACTGCCCTAAATGGAAAGTTTATATACATGAATATTTTATATGTATAATAAAATGCATATATATGATATTAAATTAGAAAAAGGATTGAATGATTAATTAATTAAATCTCAATTTTTATATTTTTAATGAAAAGAAGTATATTTATTTTAGGCGTAGGATTTATTGGCAGAAATCTTGTACATTACATAGTTAGCAATGGACTTGCTAAGAAGGTAAACCGTTTTATCTCCTTGCATGGTATTAAGGGTACTATCTCTTCCTTTTAAAGTATTATAAACATTAATTGAATAGACATACTCCAAATTACTCTTAAAACCATTGTTACATTTTCAAAATAATATACCAACTTATAAACTTATTTTTGCATGCAAGCCCAAAGTTCTTATTGATTGCAGTTAACATGGCAGGTAGTCTGTTTATAGTGCATCAGGTTGTATTGATCAAAATAATATATTCTACCATAGTCACTTTATACTCTATGCACACCCGAGAAACAAATTGCATATCTAAAATTCAAAAATCTCTATGTACTTTAGTGGACTGATAACAGGTTCTTAGAGATCACTGATATGATATGACACTGGTCCAAAATGTGTTTTTTTTTTTACCATCATATCTTACAGGTACGAGTTGTAGATAAGATTTTGCCAGTAATGGGATACCTTAATAAGGAGCATCAAGTAAGTACTCCATGTATTGAAATATACATCCTTTTTCTTCATTGAAAAAGTGTCAGCTAATGTCAATATAAAATGTGTTTTGCAAATTATTTTAATATATCCTGTCACGCAGGGGCAGATGCAGAGCTATTTACTGACAATCTTCCAAATTATCTTTGTTGATTCATCCTCCAATTGTGACCGTCTTCCAACAGAAAAAATTAAATACCCGTCATGTAAACTTGAAAATCTTACCGTCTTCCGGAAGACCCAGAAGACGGCCTAAATCCGCCCCTGACTGTGATATAAAGCATTTGAGTGTTTGGTATACGGTAGCCATCGCCTGTAACAGGTGTCCTGAATTAGCTTTGGCACATGCAGGCAAACAATGTTATAATAATGTCTATTCATATCAGAATGAACTAAGTTAGCCCAAAATAGAGGAAAATGCATTGATTATCAGATGACCAAAATTGCTCTATGATGAGTGAAAAATCAGAGGTTGGGAGAACTGTATCAAATTGTAATCTTGCTCTTATCAGTTAGTTTATTTCTCAATGTGAAACTTATGATCTGTGCTTTACATTTTGTTTCAGGAGTCATTTAGTAAAGTGGAATTCAGACATGGCAACCTAATGAATTCAGGTAAGTTTTTGTTATTTACTGATGCTATCAAAGTTAAAATTAATTTAAATTAAATTAATTTAAATTTAACTAATTAAAGTTTAAATTAAATATATTAAATTATAAGCATGATATTTTACAAGCCAGGTAACAATGATTGCTTCATTGTTATTAGTGTTTTTGTAGTGTAATATAGTGTTATTAATATTTAAATGGCTACTTTGATACACTTTCTCAAAAAAAAAAAAAAAGGTTGCAAGTTGATAATGTAAATGATCATGTAGAGAATTATATTATTTAGAAGTCTAGAAAGTAGACTAAAGTGTAACAAAGTTGTAGAATGGACTCGATGCATTACTGTTTACTACAGATTCAGTTGACTCAGCATTCCAGACAGAGGATGGATCATTTGATTTTGTTATAAACTGTGCTGCAGAGACAAAACATGGTTTGGAAGACATAGTAAGCAGTGTTATAAATTTAATTTTAAGATTGAGCTATGTTAACAGCATGTGATATTAGAAAAAGACAATGAACAATGAAGGGGATTCAAAATGCATTAGATCTATATGCTGGTGCTGCATGGGGGTTGTTACGTGCATTGTATATTATTTATAAATGAATTGTAATATACAACATACATTTTGTGCTAATAATTGATGAAGATATTTTGTACTTAAGGTATACGAAGAAGGTGTAACATTACTGAGTACAACCTGTGCCCAGGTAGCAGCTAAACATGGGGTCAAGAGATATATAGAACTTTCCAGTGGACAAATGGCTTCTACAAATAAGGTATTAGTATCGAAACTGTTGACTTTCTTAATGATACTTGGTTTTCTTTGATTTTGACAAGACTTGTGCTTTTACTGTTGGGCATTTGATTCTTCCCACGAGATTATCCCAATAATTAACTGTAGTTTTTAAGTTAGAGAAAATATGGATCAAGTTAAAATCTAGGGTTATTTTATCTTTACAGTTTCAAATAGACAATTTTTTCAAAGTGAGATTGGATCCTATTAGACGGGTGAGGTGTATTGGGCCATTATAAGATGAAAGCATTAAACATGATACTTAAGTGTGTTACTAGTTTTTTACAGTTTTTACTAGTCAGCAAAGTATGTTTTATACAATTTTAGAAACCAATGAAAGAAAGTGACGACTGTGATCCATGGACCAAAATTGCAAAACACAAACTAAGGGTAGAAGAAAAATTGACAACCATTCCAAATTTAGACTATATATGTGTGCGGCCTGCCATAGTTTATGGAAAAGGAGACAGAACAGGGTTAAGTGAGTAGCCACTTTGAATGCATTCCAATTTGGACAATTAAAAGTGCTATCAAATTAGAAATATTCAGTATGACGAATGAGTTATGCAGTTGTTATAAAACTGTAGCATTGAGATGTGAAATAGCGGTAATAAAGAAAAGTAGATAAATTGATGAATTCAAGTGCTCGAATACAAACATTTTGTTTAAAATACTAAGAATGACACAATTATTTTCCAGCCCCAAGGTTAGTGATTGGTGCTGTTTACAAATTTCTTGGAGAGAAAATGAAAGTGAGTAGTTGTTTGAGTGGGTTAGATAAATTTGTTTAAAATTTTTTGTGTAAAAGTTGGTTTATAAAATTAGAATTGAATAATTTAATTATATTAAATTGTATCTAAACTGGATTGTAAAGCAAATAAGCTTATTTTATTACACCAGCATTTGTCAGGCTTACTTTGGAACCATTTAAAAAAGTTTTACATTGCCCGGTTTTTGAATATTTCATTGAAATGAAGAACATTATATCTTTTTTAAAAAGCTTCTTTGGGGTAAAGATCTGAAGATGAATACAGTTCATGTGGATGATTTGTGTAGGGCAATTTGGCACCTTCTTTCCCATGGTAAAACTGGTGAGGTGTACAATATTGTTGATAAAGGAGATACAAGTGAGTAACATATTTTCTCATGATTTTAATATCTAAAAATATGTGGAGTAAAAATTTAAGGTGGAATGAAATGTTTAGATGACACTTTTATGCAGCATAAGGCTGGCTTTTTTGTATCTTTTACATCATATTGATTTGAAAATTTTTTATACAGTTGTATCTTGATTCATTTGTCATTTTGAAAAAAAAATGAGTTATTGCTTTTAGGAAAATAGAATCGTTTTTTCTTATTTAAAATTTTCTAAGGTAAATTGACTAACAACATTTATTTTAGCCCAAGGGTTGATTAGTGAATTGGTATCACAGATATTTGGGATCAAGTATGATTTTGTTGGCAACACCCTCATGAACTTAGTCAAGGTAATGTGTTAAATTTGTAAAAGTATTGCATAAGATGTGGAATAAAGTAGAGATCATAACATGGAAGAGAAAATTCAAGAAATTTTAAAAGTGAGTGAATAATAGAATATATATAGGCAAATGAAATTTTATGAACAAGTAGGTAAGTATGCTTCAGTGCAAAATTTCATTTGATTTCAGCCTGAGGACTTCAGTGAAGTTATTGAGGAGATAAATGACAAGCATATGTCACCATGGGGACAGGCTTGTCAAAAAGAAGGCATTGTCAACACCCCTCTAAATCCTTACATGGATCAGGTAAAATAGAATGAAAAACTATTTATTTGACTGTAACTGATAACATATACCTTCGAACATAATTAAACAGATCCCCACTGCATTATGGTTTTTGTTTAAGATCAGTTATTTTGGATTAACAACAAAACCATCCTTGCAAAAGTAATTGTAAATATATGTCTATTTATAAGTATGATTTCCCTTTCAGAATGCAATGCAAATAAATGAAAATGATTTATCTTTCAGGAGCTCCTGCTGAATAAAAACACCTATTTAGATGGCCTAAAGATTGAAGCTACAGGATTTGTTTTTGAGAAGCCGAAAGTTAATTTTGCATTGCTTAAAGAGGTAATCTTTAATTGTGTACCCCTTTGTTATTATCTTAAAATGTCTTTCTCCAGAATATTTACCTGAGATGAACTTCCTACAAAGTCAGCCCAAAAATCAGCTTTTAAAATCCCTTGGTAAATAGGTATTTTACTGTACAAGTATATATGTTTCAATAGCTTATGCAGCAATTTATTTATTTACATAATAATATTTTTCATTGTAGGTTCTGGATGACTTCATTTCAATGGGCATTTTCCCATCGTCATTTTCTAGATGACTGATGACTGTCTGCTGGGGAAATCTTCAGTTGGGATTTTGAATTCCTTTATACAAAAACCATTTAGATATAAAAGTAACACAGATATTTCCACATAAAACTGTAATGCAGTGTAGCCATGATCTCAGATATAATTGTTTAATTGTGTATGTTTCAACTTACATGACTGTTTAAGTGCTTACAACGTTTACATTTTAATCAGTCGGGTTGCTTTGAATTATTTATATAAAAAAAAGAACTTTGTGCAATCAGACGTGCTCACAATTATTTATGGCACATTCCTTAAGTTTATTGATATTATGTCTTCCCTTTTCTTTCTTTCTTTCTTTTTTAGTATAAGAGATGAACATGTTTTGCTTGTTGTTAATATATTAACTTTTTGTCTCGTTGTTTGTATAGGAATCAGGTTCATATACCAGGGCTTGCTTTATGACCCAGGTGAAAGGTTTACCTCATATACATAATTCACATTAATTTTCAATTTTTAAATCAAAGCAAATGCGTTAAAATGGGCTATTTAATCTTTTTGTTTAGGCAGTTATTTATTTTTAAGTGTAATTGATTTCAATTTGAAAATTTTGTTTTATATTATTGTAATCAACTTAACATGTTTTAGATATGAAACTTTTTATCAAATAACTTGCAATAATTTTGTTCCTCAGTTGGCATCCATCTAAATTGTATGGGAATATTTTAAAAACATATAATATGTAATTAACACATTTCTTTGCAACATTTTTAGGTAACCAATCTGTTCTTGTTAATCTCAAACCTTGCAGAGGTCTTTTTGTTAAGCCCTGTCTACTTAATTTATTTCCTTAGGGAAATTAAGTTTACAAATAATCAAAATTTAAAGCACAAAGGCCAGCTTAAATTACATTTAGTTCTCGTAACACATGCCAGTTAGTCAGATTAAAATTGGCATTTACTTTAAGAAAAGGCAAGATTCTAGTAGGATTTTTTTCTATATTATCTCCAATTCACAGCTGATATTAGTCCAGTCAAACAGTATATAACATGTATAGAAAAGATATTATGGTATATATTTTCATTTTCTCAGTGTGCAGTTTTGATAGTAAGTCTATTTTTATGGAAAATCTGCCCTTGTATCAGGGCATTATGTATCCACCAAGCAGTCACTGGCAGATTCAAGTTTTGCTTAACATGCATTTTTTTTTCATGTATCAGCTATTTACATTTCTGAATTTTAAGCTTAAACATGATATTAACTTGATTGCTGTTATGCTTAACGAGAACAATACATTCCTTTGTACAGTGACATAAACATGTGCTGTAATTGCATCTATTTCTAATACCTGCAACCAATTTTACTGTAAAGGTGTCATCTTATTTTTAAACAGTATAAAGAGAAGGCCTGTAAGGTAGATTACCTTATCACTTATCAAGGAACACAGACAATACTTCAATGCCTAAATAACAATCAAGTCTAGATCATATTACCTGTATGTGATTATGATACACTTTTCAGTTGGGCTAGTAGATTTCAATTTAACCTTTGATTTTAGATTTTATGATATGTCTGTATGAGGATAATGGTCTCCAAGATAAATGTTCCTGGTGGGTTTTAAGCTTCAGAGCATTATTTCAGCAAATGACACCAATTGTATAACTGTTGACATTTATGAAGTGCAATAATTTATTGCGCACAAGCTTTCAATGTTACTTTGGTAGCAGTTAGTGCAATTTTGAGAAGCAAAATAATATAAATTTTAAGATCAGTTACTGTAGGGTTCAGTACAAATAAAACTTTGCATGTAAAATATTGCAAAGACATCTGGAAGATTCCTAATCATTCAATTATAATTCATCCATAATCCTGGAGTCTCTCAGTTAAGATAACCCATTATGTTTTTGATGGTTTTCCATTAATTGTCAAAGATATCCCAAAACATCACTGTTGTGTAAGATGATATTGACAAGGCCAAGGAAACTCTTGTAATACAATATGAGTTCTTTTATTAGACAATTTATACATTATGTTATAAGCTATTATATGATCTAATGTATTACACATAGTTCACAAAAGCCTGACTTTAACCCCCATACTATGTTACATATGGATCAATAAGTAATGGTTTGAGAGGATGAAAAAGGATATTTAGTATGCCAGTTCCTACAAACTCCCCTTATCAACTACAACACAACCAAATCCCATTCATCGATCATCAGAGTTTGTTTAGAAGCTGGTTATTCCGACTGATGAAACCGTAATGATTAACATATCTATTCTGTACACTGCTTTACAAAATAATTCCAATCCTGTACAAAAACCAAGAAAAGATTCCCTGCACTTGATCTGAACATGCAGTTTACTAAGCATTTCAAAAAAGGAACTGCAAACTTTAATTTATCTACATGCAAAAATAATCCTTTCATGGATGACATATTAAACAAATGGCCTTTTCTCTGCAGGGTTTTTGAAATAATCGTTGCTCCTGCAACTCTGGTACATTTATAGCACATGCAAGCAGAATACAAAAGATATCAAACACCATTTTGTTTCCTGCTGCAGCAATTGTACAATAAATTTAATACATATAAGTTAAAATATTTTGATATTTCTGTCCATCTCATCCTACCAGCATAGCCTACGATCAATTCCTTTGTAAGTGACTTTCATTAACTGATGGTGTAACAATGTTTGAAAATTTTAATTTATAGAAGCATTGAAGACAACTTCTATGTGAATATTATAAGAGAATGGACTGCAACCCATATGACAACCAAATATTTTCTCAATCATGCAATCAACTTGTTTTGCTAAACCACGGGCAATTTTAGATAGAAATGAGCTAAAATTAAATTAAACTGTGCTCATTAATTTAGCTTGATCACAGAACAGTCTGTTGTTCTTTACATGGTTTCGAAATGTCCGTTTAATACACTTAGTGATATAATTCCAATGTTCTGCCTCAATGCACCACTGCTCTTACAATGACTTTTGATAACGTATCAGTATTTCAGTTCTCGTGCACGCTTACAGTCAAATATTCAAGGTCACCAGTTTCTTCAGCAACACTGTTTTTTGGGTTGCGAGTTATCTGTCGGGGCTACTTGTATTGTTCTAACATCATTGCTTAGCGTATTGTCATCATCTGGACTGTCACGTATCTGTTTCTGTGATACAATCTTATAAATTTCTGAAATTAGATAAAAAAGGTTTTTTTTTAATTATAACACTAAAGAGACACTTTCACTGTCATGTATCTTAATTGTATGGCTCATGTAACATGCAGCATATTTCTTATTTCAAAACTGTTATGTATCAAGCCAATGTTTTCAAGCTTTATGAACAGTTTTCAATTTTACCTGTTAGAATGTTTTGGAAGGCTGCTTCAACATTAGTGGAATCCAAGGCTGATGTCTCAATAAAGGACAAGTTATGTTTTTCTAAAAGAAGGAAAAAACTCGAAGTTAAACAAAATGTGTCATAAATGGAAAAAGATCATATAGTGTGTCATCAACTTATCCTTGATAAATGAGCTTCCTGCAATGACAAAAAGTGTTTTGGGGTAATAAATCAATCACTGGATCATTACTTGTCAATCCAATATCACAACAGGATATTATTAGCTACAACAGTAAACATAAATTTGCCCAAGGTTAAAATCACAGAATCATATCACAGACATTTTATAACAATTTGACCTCATGAAACATGTCACTGGTCTAATAAAAGTTGCCTTGCACTAGAAAAACTTCTCATTTTATAATCTGTATATGCAGAGGGTGCATGCTCATGAAAATCTACTATAAGGTGAATCTTTATTTAACAGAAAATCACCTGCAAAGGCCTTGGCCTCATCTGTTGGGACTGCCCTCAGATGTCTCAAGTCACTTTTGTTACCAACTAACATAATCACAATATTGTTATCTGCATGGTCACGCAGCTCTTTCAACCATCGCTCCACATTTTCATATGTTAAATGTTTGGCTATATCATACACCAATAACGCTCCGACTGCTCCTCTGTAGTACCTGGAAGATAAAAAGGAAATTGTAGAAAAGTACAATCAAACAAAAGCAAACCTTTTTTCTTTTGAAAATCATACAAATAAATAATTATCAAAACATAAACTGACATATAGGAATATTAATCAGACTAATTTAAGGAGTGCAATAACCCAATCAGGACAGCAGACAGTTGACTGGCCAACTTGCATTAAAAGAAAGAATCTTTTACTAATCAAAATATGCACAAAATGATTCTCCTGATTGGATTCTTCTTTCATGAACTGGCTATGTGTCATCATGTCAAATAGTCCAACTGCTCTTTAATTTTCTTTAATACACATCACAACTGAAAATGACATTCCATCCTTGTTATTATCAGATTAAAATTGACGAAAAAAATCCACTGGATTCACTGCCACCCTATCATGCATCACATAATATTGTTGTTAACCTTGGCATTCATGTAGGATTATGAAGCTCAGTTACTTACGCACTAGTTATAGCCCTATATCTTTCCTGGCCAGCAGTATCCCAGATCTGAGCTTTGATAGTTTTACCATCAACTTGAATACTCCTGAAAATAAAAATTAAGAAAATATGAGCACATACAAAAGTCATGAGAAGATCAAATTTGTTAGCCTTGTAACATGTGCCTGGTGTGAAAGGAAGAGGTTGCTTTAGAGACCATTCCCACAGATATTTAGATCGATCTACTCCCCTGGGGAGTCTCACTAGATTGCTGTCAGCTTAATTGGCTTAAATGACTGTCCCCCCCCTACTAAAAGCTGTAAGGGGGTAATTAACTTTTGTGCGCGCTTGGCTCCCAAAAGCTGACAGCAATTTAGCGTGAAACCCCAGGGACTTAGGTCGATCCAAATGGATCGATCTAAATCTGTGGGAACCCAGTCTTAGTTGTCAATTCATTTTTTCATAATCTGCTAATAAATATAAAAATTTAATGATCTGTTGTTCTATTTCTTATTATTGGAGTCAATTGTTTGGTTGCTTTTCTGCTCAACAACTGCTGCATCAGACTCAACAAGGTGATATCTGCTCACATTACAAAGCCCCCAACACCTTACTAATGAAAACCAAAGGCCCTATTATCACACAAAGTGCTAGTACCCATAAGATCAATGCTGTGTGCTTGATTTATGTGCGTTTTCATGAAAACAGATGAAATCTTCCATGAATATTTTCCTGGCAATATAATCAGTGCAGCTGCTCTATGCCTCATCTGCACCTGTTGCCCACCCCTACTAAAACATGACCTTACTTTTTCTAGCCAAGCTATTGATATTCTATAATGCTATAATGGGTAACATTGTATTTGACCTGTTTTGCCTATGTTATACACAGTAAAAATTTGTGAGTCAAAGAAAAAAAAAAAAACTGCTGAAACATCTTTGTGTTAGTGAACCAGATCACTTTCTGTTGAAAGAAATATCTTAACTTTCCCTTTCAGTCACACCTTGATTATGCTTACCATACCTTAACTTTGACAGTTGATAGGTTACAAAACATCTTTTGTTCATTTTAAACATTAAAATAAAAAATGCTTTCAAATTCTGTGAACATTCCATTAGTTTTAAAAACATCTATCAGACTTTACGAAAGGCGTCGGACCGTCGGACATGCCTGGCAAATTTCTTCTCGGTCCGATAAAAAATCCTGTATCGTCGGACCTTATGTCCGGCGAGTTTTCAAACTGACTGGGAATGTGCAAATATAAGGAATACGTTGTTGTTTCTTTTCTGGACGATATATTTTACTTCATTCAAAAAGAGAGACGGGGTGAAAATCTCGGGGAGTTCCCAAGTAATTATACATAATTTATTAACCTCAGTTTCACTCACAAATACTATTTTGTGACTGGCTGAGGTTGGGGGATTCCTGAATGATGTAATGTACAGTCTCGTTTTCGTTTTCGTAATACCCCTACACAACAAAATGGCCGCAACACATGTGCTCGTGCTATTTGCGTTTTTACAGACTTGATCCTCTGTTTCTTCATTATCAGTCGTACACAGTACTCATGGATAAGCCTTTTGCTTAGAAATGACGTTGTTGAACTTTAAACACTTCGTTGGTGCAAAGCGTGGCAAAAATGAAAAAGAAGTGAGGAAGAGAAACGGAAGTTTATTAAAATTGGAAAGAAGGTAGGCCCTGGCGGACTTATGATCTGTAGGAGAGGAAAATAGTGTGTGCCGAGTGTCAGGAGTACTAAAGTTATTATTTTGATCAATAGCAACATAAATGTTACAGCTTTATTACGGGTTCTTAAATTATGGAGCATATGTACGTATTTGCATGTACCGTTCACCACTAGTTGGAGAAAGTGCACATGAACTTGATGAAAGCTCACAGTTTGAGTTTCTTTTTATAAAAAAAGAAATAAAATGAAAAAGAAACTTAGACTCGGACCGGACAGTTCCTGTCAAAGCTTCATTTGTGCTGTTTCAAAATGCATATGTTATTGCCAAAAACAATGTGTGAAATGGTTATCTGATTAACAGACGTTTTTATGGACATATATGTATACATTTAATATTACTAGCTACACATTCTTCATACTTGTATTGTTTTTAGTCCTTGTGTCATTCCACAGCATCTTTTTCATTAAATAAAAAGCAACTTGTTATGCAAGTAATTTTTTGCCTATTTTTTTCTTATTTTTCTTTTTTACAAATAAATATATATCAAAAATTTAATAATTGATTTAATGTCAATGATTTAAAACGTTAGAAAATACACATGAAAAGATGAATAATGGTTCATATTTTTATTATTTTACTTCGGTCTGACAGATTTTGTTTCGGTCTGACAGAATTTTCAAGCTTGTCAGACCGGATGTCTGACAGATTTTTTGGTCTTTCGTAAAGTCTGATCTATACCATGATCTGTATATATGTAGAATGTGCCATATAAATCATTATCATCATGTACAGATAGTGACCAAAAATAAAACCTGTGATTTGATCTTTCCAAGCTGAATTCCCTATCATATGTAGGTTAAGTTATATTCATTAATTTGATTTCCTCATGAAAAATCTAGGGCACAAAAATACCATACAATAGACAAAGACAGATTGCTGATGACAGTCATTAATCAACACACAGGCTAGGATAGGAATCCCTGCTTAAAAGCCAGAGACAATATTGTTTGTAATAACAACTGGCACTAGGCCAGCCTGGTAAGTGAAGTTAAATATGAATCTAACTGGACTGAAGTGCCAGCAAAATTTTGCTCAAGTTGGAGATACTCTGAATGTATCAGCAAAGGAGGTCACCAAAACCGAAATTGGAATAATATACAGCATGAACCAAAGACAAAAACTACTTTTTTGTCTAAATCATATATAGGTGGATAACACTAATATCTAATATCAAAAGTATCCAAAGCCAAAGCCCAATCTTTAGCATCTAAAACAAATTATCATGTCAACATAAGCCTATCATATCCATGCATATGCAGATACTTGGACAAACCAGCTTGATATATTGTTTTCCATCTGGGCCAAGCCAAGCCAGCCTAATGACATGCCAGGGCTTCATAAATGGGGCACTAGTTGAGCAGGTGCTTGAATGTTGAGCTGTGTGTTCACGGTTGATATAAATGGACAGTATCAAGGAATTATGATGGACAGTTGGACATATACATTAAATCATTGGGGGCTGACACATCAATAAGGAATTTCCAAATATGTGCAAATCAAAGTGGAAGACTAATACTCTTAGTTTACTTTGTAAATTGTATTATCATAGAATTGACACTTAAGGCTAATCTGCCTTCAAATGATGAAACTGTGAGGAGAGAGGGAAAACATGCCTTGGTGTATGTCAATATTCAATAATTATAAAGGGGGATGTTCAATAATTAACTTTTTTTAGAAAAGCAAACATTTTGTTGGAGCGTTTTTTCTTTCTTCATTACTTTATTTTGGTGTGACTACTTCAGCCCAATATACTGATGACACTCAATTGTAAGTTAGGTCAAGCTCAGTTATCAACATGATGCGAGTAGCACACTGAGAGTAAAAAGATACTAGTTGCTGTTTTGGTACAGAATTAAATTGCATACTTGAAGGATAATACCTACCTAGTAGCAAACTCTACTCCTATTGTGCTTTTACTCTCCAAATTAAATTCATTTCTGGTAAATCTGGATAACAGGTTACTCTTACCAACACCAGAATCTCCGATCAAGACAACTGAAAAGACGAGGAAATTTGGTTAAAATGCAGTTTTATTTCAACACTCATAATTTTGACAGTCCCACACACATTTCTATCTACCCCTAAAGATGAAAGCTTAGGGCACAAGACTTATCAAATCTAGAATGCACTAACCTTATAGAGCCATTTCTCATGAAGGAGAAGAGAAAACAATAAGGTGTGTTATTTATTATTAAGTCTTCAGTTGTTGTAGCTGAATGACATCATATCTAATTTAGCATATCTTACTAGTGTCCAAATATTTTGTTATCCACTGCCACGTATGATACATAGATCAATGCATGTAGATATAATAGTAAGGTGAGTCATATGGCAGAAATGCCATCTTGTAAAAAGGGTGTACATAATCTGTCAACTCTAGCCAGTGTTCTACTTTTACACTTCTGAATAACTATATAATGGCATTTTATGCAAAGAAAATCTTAGTATAATTTACGAAAAAAACAACTGAATGATTTCTCTGATAACATGTTTATACATCAGTATAATTTCAAGGTTTTGGTTAGGTTTGCATTTACTGACACTGACAGTTTCGGACCCAAAAGTGGATTGACAAAATTAATAGAATGAGCCTTTTCTGCCATTTATCAAGTCGTCTTAAGGGGTAAACTGAAAAATACTATCATCAAAAACTGTGAGAAGACTGATATAATCTCTATTTGAATTTCGTATGTTCTTTACATTCAAACTTACCCTTGAACAAATAATCGTATTCGTCATCTTTTGCCATTTCTACTTCCTGTAAGCCTCCGAGGGGCTATATCGCTTGGTCTGTGATGTGTAGTCTCACAATAGCCAGAAAGGTGGTTATTAGTATTTCTTCTTGATGTATACACCCACTTTCGTATATAAATTGTGCCGGATGGTTTCAAATACTGGATGATTTGTACGATTTCTTAATCAAAACAAAACTCCTTATCCAATATGGCGGACTTAACGCCCCTTCCTGGCACAATGGTGACGTCAGACTAGTGTGTTTGTTGTGGCGCTCGCATTGCGTTTTGTAGTCTACAGTTTTTTTATTCCGCCCTAGTAGTGCCAATATAGACTATAACAACGAAATATATAGACTCCCGCGCGTCACATTTCGCAGTGTCCTTAGTGTTGATGTTTGCATTTTCCCAAGAGCAAAAAACTGTTAGATCTATCGTAACATACATTATACGGGAGTACCGGTATATCTATTTATTTTATTTATAAAAGTTATTTGTTAACATGATAAGACACATGCAGTTTCTGACAAAGGAAACGCCTCCCTCTGTTTCCGGTTTTTTTTCCAAACAGAAATATTTAAGCCCTTATTACTAATAATAATACTAATAACATAAGTGGAAAATAATCATAACCTGAAAGAATAGGAAGCGGCCCCCCCCCAACCCCCCCCCCACACACACACACACACACACACACACACACCAGCCTGGTAGAGGGTATGGATGCACCATGAATGGTCGTTAAAATCTTTAAAAAAAGGTATAACAGTTATTTTTATGGGAAAGACTGTAAACAATAAGGAAGTATCTCAGGGGTAGAATGTTAACTCATATATATTTTTACTATGGCAAAAGCTCTCAGTTAAAGAGAATGTGCCCAATTTACAGATAAACCCATGAAAATCTGGCAAACATACAGACACCATACAGGAAACAAGGCAGCAAAGCTGACAAATGTTCAGACTTTACATAAAAATATTGCACAAAATTTTGATGCACTATTACATAATGCTTTAAAGCAGATTAATCACTTTTACCTCCTTACATTATGTACTACAGGTAACATGGGCATTGAGAAACTAGCAAGTGTTTCAGTTCCATGGGATATAAAAGCCACTGAAAATGTGAAAAAAAATACACACACAAAAAAAAATGATTATAGTATAAATAAATTGCCTCTTTACCAAACAACACCCTGAGCTTCAGAGCTAACTTGACACTAACCTATTCACTGTAGCCTATCTTCATCGTGTCAAGTAACCTCTGACGAAAATAGTTTGACCTAGTTTATATAAGCCAATCAAATCCATGTTTCAAAATTTTTCACCAAAGTTTGGTGAAAACGCTGATTGGTTGACCGTCAATCGGCAATCCTCGGCTGATTCCGCAAGCTCCATACTAACAACATAGTTATTGTCGAGTGCGGAGACATCCGAGTAGTTCCGAGTGTATTACCGTACACAAAGAAAGCAAGGCGAGTGACTACGAAAAAGAATGTGTTAAGTTATCTCTTGATTCTTTGCAAAATATGAGTAAATCGGAATTGAAACCATAGGGTCTAGCAGTTTGAGGCCCTGCATCATTATCTACTGAGAGACGATGTTATTTGTGTGCTGCCCACAGGTTACGGCAAGACCCTGATATTCAGCCTTATCTTTGATTGGTCCGGATTTGAACAAAGCGCGCTTTGACTCGTTCGCGTTCATTGGCTAGATCGTTTAATGAGTCATTGAGTGCGGGCTTTTAAATTTGATTGGCGGGCGGCGGAGGCAATCGAATCTGGTCAGAGGTTACTTGGCACGATGAAGATAGGCTACAGTGAAGAGGTTAGTGTCAAGTTATCTCTGAAGCTCAGGGTGCCAAACAAAGGCACTGAGAAAATTTTAAGTAAAACAAAAATACTATTTCGCAGTTATGGGGCAAACATCACCAAAATTGTGCAAAAAAAAAAAAAAAAAAAAACAGAATAATTACTGTAAATAAAACCAAACTGCCCCTTTGTCACTCAGTGAATTTAAAGTAAAACCAAAATACAGTTTGAAAGTTATGGGGCGACTGTGACGGCGACAGCAACAACACAGACAGATGGACCAATCAAAATATATACAGACACATATACACTTGTATATGTGAAAATGTTTGGCAAAGCATTTTATGAAAGTAACAGTTATGTTTTCCTGCTTTAAACCACAATTTCTTTTGTGGTTGTTGGGTGAATCAAAAGAAATTCTATATCTTTGCATAAATATTTTACTAAGATTCAACAGATACACAAACAAGTGTACATCTCAACAAAAGTTCTTCAACTTGATACCCACAGCAAATTTAAATTGTAAATTTATACTAGAATAAATAAACATCTTTCCTGGCATCTACTTCAAGTTTTTGGCTTTGGCATCAATGTCCAGTTACTGCTTTTCGAATGGCCTTACGAAAATCTGGCGTTCGTACAGCATATATAAATGGATTCAATGCAGAGTTGACAGCAAGCAAAATTCCCAAACAGAAGCGAACATTTATAGCAATAACCGAGTATTCCAACCGCATAAGTGCATGGATGGCAATAAATAACATAAAAGGGACCCAGCAAACCAAATAACAAAACTCAATTAGAGCAACAGTCTTGCAGAGTTTAATTATCTGTGAAGAAATTGGCGTATGTCTGTCAATTGCATTTTGAGGTGTCAGTATCCTGTTGGCATTTCGAGATCCAATTCTGTTCTTCTGTTTTCTGATTTCCTTTATAATTTTGGTATATAAAACCAAAATGCTGACTGTTGACAGGATGAATGGTAGTGAAATAAACCAAGTAATAAAATCCTCTTTCAGAATTACAGAAAATTCACAGCCATGGGATTTTTCATAGGTCCAATCCTTGTGCCACACAAATGGTATCAAAAATCCAAATATGAATGCAGGGGTCCAAATTAACGCAGTTATGCCATAAAACCATTTTTTAATATCACATGTATGATACTTCAAAGGATGGAACACAGCAAAATATCTCTCCACAGTTAGAACCAACAGTGTCAAATTACAAGCGAATGAAGAGACACTCAACAGAGAGTACCGCAAGATACACAAGGTAAGAGACTTGAGAGGTATAAAAATTGATACAATTTGAAAAATTATCTGGAATCCTAATACCAAGTCTGCCACTGCTAGACGTATCATGAAAATATTGCCACGTGTTTGCAGTTTCTGCACACATGCATAGGTGATGATGACCAACAGATTTCCAAAACATATGATGACCATGACTAGTGCAAATGCAAACACAACCAATACTTTGTATAATGTTGTCTGGTAATAGTATGGACCATTTTCACCTTCAGTATTGTTANAGGAGAAGATCAAATTTGTTAGCCTTGTAACATGTGCCTGGTGTGAAAGGAAGAGGTTGCTTTAGAGACCATTCCCACAGATATTTAGATCGATCTACTCCCCTGGGGAGTCTCACTAGATTGCTGTCAGCTTAATTGGCTTAAATGACTGTCCCCCCCTACTAAAAGCTGTAAGGGGGTAATTAACTTTTGTGCGCGCTTGGCTCCCAGAAGCTGACAGCAATTTAGCGTGAAACCCCAGGGAGTTAGGTCGATCCATATGGATCGATCTAAATCTGTGGGAACCCAGTCTTAGTTGTCAATTCATTTTTTCATAATCTGCTAATAAATATAAAAATTTAATGATCTGTTGTTCTATTTCTTATTATTGGAGTCAATTGTTTGGTTGCTTTTCTGCTCAACAATTGCTCAACAAGGTGATATCTGCTCACATTACAAAGCCCCCAACACCTTACTAATGAAAACCAAAGGCCCTATTATCACACAAAGTACTAGTACCCATAAGATCAATCCTGTGTGCTTGATTTATGTGCGTTTTCATGAAAACAGATGAAATCTTCCATGAATATTTCCCTGGCAATATAATCAGTGCAGCTGCTCTATGCCTTATCTGCACCTGTTGCCCACCCCTACTAAAACATGACCTTACTTTTTCTAGCCAAGCTATTGATATTCTATAATGCTATAATGGGTAACATTGTATTTGACTCGTTTTGCCTATGTTATACACAGTAAAAATTTGTAAAAAAAACTGCTGAAACATCTTTGTGTTAGTGAACCAGATCACTTTATGTTGAAAGAAATATCTTAACTTTCCCTTTCAGTCACACCTTGATTATGCTTACCATACCTTAACTTTGACAGCTGATAGGTTACAAAACATCCTTTGTTCATTTTAAACATTAAAATAAAAAATGCTTTCAAATTCTGTGAACATTCCATTAGTTTTAAAAACATCTATACCATGGTCTGTATATATGTAGAATGTGCCATATGAATTATTATCATCATGTACAGATAGTGACCAAAAATAAAACCTGTGGTTTGATCTTTCCAAGCTGAATTCCCTATCATATGTAGGTTAAGTTATATTCATTAATTTGATTTCCTCATGAAAAATCTAGGGCACAAAAATACCATACAATAGACAAAGACAGATTGCTGATGACCGTCATTAATCAACACACAGGCTAGGATAGGAATCCCTGCTTAGCTTAAAAGCCAGAGACAATATTGGCACTAGGCCAGCCTGGTAAGTGAAGTTGAATATGAATCTAACTGGACTGAAGTGCCAGCAAAATTTTGCTCAAGTTGGAGATACTCTGAATGTATCAGCAAAGGAGGTCACCAAAACTGAAATTGGAATAATATACAGCATGAACCAAAGACAAAAACTACTTTTTTTGTCTAAATTATATATAGGTGGATAACACTAATATCTAATATCAAAAGTATCCAAAGCCAAAGCCCAATCTTTAGCATCTAAAACAAATTATCATGTCAACATAAGCCTATCATATCCATGCATATGCAGATACTTGGACAAACCAGCTTGATATATCGTTTTCCATCTGGGCCAAGCCAAGCCAGCCTAATGACATGCCAGGGCTTCATAAATGGGGCACTAGTTGAGCAGGTGCTTGAATGTTGAGCTGTGTGTTCACGGTTGGTATAAATGGACAGTATCAAGGAATTATGATGGACAGTTGGACATATACATTAAATCATTGGGGGCTGACACATCAATAAGGAATTTCCAAATATGTGCAAATCAAAGTGGAAGACTAATACTCTTAGTTTACTTTGTAAATTGTATTATCATAGAATTGACACTTAAGGCTTATCTGCCTTCAAATGATGAAACTGTGAGGAGAGAGGGAAAACATGCCTTGGTGAATGTCAATATTCAATAATTATAAAAGGGGATATTCAATAATTAACTTTTTTAGAAAAGCAAACATTTTGCTGGAGCGTTTTTTCTTTCTTCATTACTTTATTTTGGTGTGACTACTTCAGCCCAATATACTGATGACACTCAATTGTAAGTTAGGTCAAGCTCAGTTATCAACATGATGCGAGTAGCACACTGAGAGTAAAAAGATACTAGTTGCTGTTTTGGTACAGAATTAAATTGCATACTTGAAGGATAATACCTACCTAGTAGCAAACTCTACTCCTATTGTGCTTTTACTCTCCAAATTAAATTCATTTCTGGTAAATCTGGATAACAGGTTACTCTTACCAACACCAGAATCTCCGATCAAGACAACTGAAAAGATGAGGAAATTTGGTTAAAATGCAGTTTTATTTCAACACTCATAATTTTGACAGTCCCACACACATTTCTATCTACCCCTAAAGATAAAAGCTTAGGGCACAAGGCTTATCAAATCTAGAATGCACTAACCTTATAGAGTCATTCTCATGAAGGAGAAGAGAAAACAATAAGGTGTGTTATTTATTATAAAGTCTTCAGTTTTTGTAGCTGAATGACATCATATCTAATTTAGCATATCTTACTAGTGTCCAAATATTTTGTTATCCACTGCCACGTATGATACATAGATCAATGCATGTAGATATAATAGTAAGGTGAGTCATATGGCAGAAATGCCATCTTGTAAAAAGGGTGTACATAATCTGTCAACTCTAGCCAGTGTTCTATTTTTACACTTCTGAATAACTAGTATGTAATGGTATTTAATGCAAAGAAAATTTTAGTATAATTTATGAAATAAAGAACTGAATGATTTCTCGGATAACATGTTTATACATCAGTATAATTTCAAGGTTTTGGTTAGGTTTGCATTTACTGACACTGACAGTTACGGACACGAAGGTGGATTGACAAAATTAATCGAATGAGCCTTTTCTGCCATTTATCAAGTCGTCTCAAAATGTAAACTGAAAAATACTATCATCAAAAACTGTGAGAAGACTGATATAATCTCTGTTTGAATTTTGTATGTTCTTTACATTCAAACTTACCCTTGAACAAATAATCGTATTCGTCATCTTTTGCCATTTCTACTTCCTGTAAGCCTCTGAGGGGCTATATCGCTTGGTCTGTGATGTGTAGTCTCACAATAGCCAGAAAGGTGGTTATTGGTATTTCTTCTTGATGTATACAGCCACTTTCGTTTAAAAATTGTGCCGGATGGTTTCAAATACTGGATGATTTGTACGATTTCTTAATCAAAACAAAACTCCTTATCCAATATGGCGGACTTAACGCCCCTTCCTGGCACAATGGTGACGTCAGACTAATGTGTTTGTTGTGGCGCTCGCATTGCGTTGTAGTCTCCAGTTTTTATTTTTTATTCCGCCCTAGTAGTGCCAATATATCGCAACGGAATATATAGACTCCTGCGCGTCGCATTTCGCAGTGTCCTTAGTGTTGATGTTTGCGTTTTTCCAAGAGCAAAAAACTGTTAGATCTATCGTAACATACATTATACGGGAGTACCTGTACATTTATTTATTTATAAAAGTAATTTGTTAGCATGATAAGAGACATGCAGTTTCTGACAAAGGAAACGCCTCCCTCTGTTTCCCAGTTTTCCCCCAAACAGAGGTATTTACGCTCTTATTACTAATAATAGTAATACTAATAACGTAAGTGGAAAATAACCATAACCTGAAAGAATAGGAATTAAGCGCCCCCCCCCCCCCTCCCAGTTACACACACATACACACGTTTCCCAGATCAAAATGACAGATTAAGCCCTTAGGCCAGAAGTCACTCCCATGCCTCCAATATCAGAACCTGATTTTTTGCATTACTTCATGCATAAAATTGAAATGAATTGACTTATTTTCCCTTAAATAATTCAGATTTAATTTTAGGAAATGCATTAACTTTGTCTACAAACACGACAGGTTATCCAGAATGTCTTCTTGAATAAGGACGGTGACACAGGAAACAAGGTGTTCTGCATGGCTTATTTCATATGCTTTGTTGCACTGCTATTTAGCTAATACTGTACACAGTGAATACAAATGGTATATGATGCTACATGTTGGCATTTTAAATGCAAAACTTAATGCATAAAATGATTTAATAATTAAAATGTGCAAGCTTGTTTTTAGACCTACTTGTACTAGCACGTTCAAGCTGTGCAAGTGTGGCATCCTGGACTGGCTAAATGCCAAACTGAAAAACTGAATCTGTCTGGAAAAAAATTTTAAAGGTACTAATACTACAGTAAAGCCAGAAATCTCTTTCCTAAAAGCCTGAATTAGACTTAGAAAGCAGGCATGATGATCTATATGTTGTTAAATAAACTGAACCGCTTGCAGTGTATTAATTTGCCAAACTAAAAAAAATACTTGCACATCCAAACTGAGGCACACTCAGAATTTTTATATTTCAAACTAAGTACTGTTAGATTTTCAAATATTTAAATCCCCTGGGCACTCCAAAATTTTAATGTATTACCTGAATTGCATTGAACATAGAAGTTTTCATCACTAATTTTTTGTTTGTTTTCAGTGTTGCATTTACTTTCATAAATCTCTTAAAGTGCATGTACAATCCAACATTCAGTTGCAGTATTATTTTTATTATTAAAATCAAATTCAATTGCCATTAACTAGGGTGTTCTGCATTTCTCCAATATCATGTATAAAACAAATCAGTTTGTCTGTTTCAAGTAACTCAGATTTCCCTTCCCCACCCATTACTTATATCATGGATGCACTACCCTCTACCTCAGATTGACTTTTCACAGGATATTTACAGATATGTCTTTAGACAAAAAGATGGTCATTTTACTATCTTTTCCCATTTTCCCTATATAATCTACCACCCTGGTAGAGTGTATGGATGCACCATCGATGGTCATTAAAATCTTTTAAAAGTAAGGTATGACAGTTATTTTTATGGGAAAGACTGTAAACAATAAGGAAGTATCTCAGGGTTAGAGGGTTAACTCATATTAATTTTAACTTTGGCAAAAGCTTAGTTAAAGAGAATGTGCCCAATTTACAGATAAACCCATGAAAATCTGGCAAATATACAGACACCATACAGGAAACAAGGCAGCAAAGCTGACAAATGTTCAGACTTAACATAAAAATATTGCACAAAATTTTGATGCATTTTACATATTTTACATTTTACTTTAAAGCAGATTAATCACTTTTACCTCCTTACATTGTGTACTACAGGTAAGATGGGCATTGAAAAACTAGCAAGTGTTTTAGTTCCATGGGATATAAAAGCCACTGAAAATGTGAAAAAAATACACACACAAAAAAAACAAAATAATTACAGTAAAAATAAACCGCTCATGCCGATTTTCGAAAGTAACTTGCCTCTTTACCAAACAAAGGCACTGAGAAAATTTTAAGTAAAACAAAAATACTGTTTCGCAGTTATGGGGCGAACATCACCAAAGTTGTGCAAAAAAAAAAAAAAAACAATACTTACTGTAAATAAAACCAAACTACCCCTTTACCAATCAAAGTCACTCAGTGAATTTAAAGTAAAACCAAAATACAGTTTGAAAGTTATGGGGCAACTGTGACAGCAACAACACAGACAGATGGACCAATCAAAATATATACAGACACATATACAGACACTGTGAGTGTCTGTATGTAAAAATGTTTGGCAAAGCATTTTATGAAAGTTACAGTTATGTTTTCCTGCTTTAAACCACAATTTCTTTTGTGGTTGTTGGGTGAATCAAAAGAAATTCTATATCTTTGCATAAATATTTTACTAAGATTCAACAGATACACAAACAAGTGTACATCTCAACAAAAGTTCTTCAACTTAATACCCACAGCAAATTTAAATTGTAAATTTATACAAGAATAAATTAACATCTTTCCTGGCATCTTCTTCAAGTTTTTGGCTTTGGCATCAATGTCCAGTTACTGCTTTTCGAATGGCCTTACGAAAATCTGGCGTTCGTACAGCATATATAAATGGATTCAATGCAGAGTTGACAGCAAGCAAAATTCCCAAACAGAAGCGAACATTTATAGCAATAACCGAGTATTCCAACCGCATAAGTGCATGGATGGCAATAAATAACATAAAAGGGACCCAGCAAACCAAATAACAAAACTCAATTAGAGCAACAGTCTTGCAGAGTTTAATTATCTGTGAAGAAATCTGTGTATGTCTGTCAATTGCATTTTGAGGTGTCAGTATCCTGTTGGCATTTCGAGATCCAATTCTGTTCTTCTGTTTTCTGATTTCCTTTATGATTTTGGTATATAAAACCAAAATGCTGACTGTTGACAGGATGAATGGTAGTGAAATAAACCAAGTAATAAAATCCTCTTTCAGAATTACAGAAAATTCACAACCATGGGATTTTTCAAAGGTCCAATCCTTGTGCCACACAAATGGTATCAAAAATCCAAATATGAATGCAGGGGTCCAAATTAACGCAGTTATGCCATAAAACCATTTTTTAATATCACATGTATGATACTTCAAAGGATGGAACACAGCAAAATATCTCTCCACAGTTAGAACCAACAGTGTCAAATTACAAGCGAATGAAGAGACACTCAACAGAGAGTACCGCAAGATACACAAGGTAAGAGACTTGAGAGGTATAAAAATTGATACAATTTGAAAAATTATCTGGAATCCTAATACCAAGTCTGCCACTGCTAGACGTATCATGAAAATATTGCCACGTGTTTGCAGTTTCTGCACACATGCATAGGTGATGATGACCAACAGATTTCCAAAACATATGATGACCATAACTAGTGCAAATGCAAACACAACCAATGCTTTGTATAAAGTTGTCTGGTAATAGTATGGACCATTTTCACCTTCAGTATTGTTATCTGCAAAATAAAAGTCATTCCTAGTCCCATTCACTGGTATCATCATCAGGCTTAAGTTATTCCTTTGTAAGTGTGCCACTAGTTGCAGCTTTCTTTACCTCTCAGTAGTTACAAAGGCCTGCCGTTCAAATATTCATTTAATAAATTCTCCACTAAAATCTCAATCCCTGTATTTTTTAGCATTAGGCAGCAAAACCAGTCACAGCTGTTACAGCTGCTCACTTTTTCATTCTTGTTGAAAATCAATTTCACCTTCTCTTTATCTCAGCTCTTATACAATCTGAGTCAATTGCTGTGTCAGAGATTATCTGATTGTATTGCTACAGGCATTGAGCTAACTAGTTCATTGCTACAGAGTACAGTATATCTAATCCTAATGCAATACAACAACTAAAGTGCATTAACTTAAACATCTGCAAAACGTCTCTGAATATCATAATAGCATTTTCAATCTGCACAATGAATTACTGATAGGAACAAGAAAGAGGTGACAATAACTTTCTACTGATGCAAAGTCAACTAGGCAGCAAAGCTGGCAAATATCCAGACACAATACACAGGCCTACCCAACTACCAGACTCGGCACCGAATGATCCTGAATTCACCGGTAGATCAGACCACACTACCCGTTTTCAAGGTGTGTGTCAGATCGCATTACACAGTATCATACCCTGAACAAATTTTGAGTGGTGATGCAATGCTTTTNCTTCAAGTTTTTGGCTTTGGCATCAATGTCCAGTTACTGCTTTTCGAATGGCCTTACGAAAATCTGGCGTTCGTACAGCATATATAAATGGATTCAATGCAGAGTTGACAGCAAGCAAAATTCCCAAACAGAAGCGAACATTTATAGCAATAACCGAGTATTCCAACCGCATAAGTGCATGGATGGCAATAAATAACATAAAAGGGACCCAGCAAACCAAATAACAAAACTCAATTAGAGCAACAGTCTTGCAGAGTTTAATTATCTGTGAAGAAATTGGCGTATGTCTGTCAATTGCATTTTGAGGTGTCAGTATCCTGTTGGCATTTCGAGATCCAATTCTGTTCTTCTGTTTTCTGATTTCCTTTATAATTTTGGTATATAAAACCAAAATGCTGACTGTTGACAGGATGAATGGTAGTGAAATAAACCAAGTAATAAAATCCTCTTTCAGAATTACAGAAAATTCACAGCCATGGGATTTTTCATAGGTCCAATCCTTGTGCCACACAAATGGTATCAAAAATCCAAATATGAATGCAGGGGTCCAAATTAACGCAGTTATGCCATAAAACCATTTTTTAATATCACATGTATGATACTTCAAAGGATGGAACACAGCAAAATATCTCTCCACAGTTAGAACCAACAGTGTCAAATTACAAGCGAATGAAGAGACACTCAACAGAGAGTACCGCAAGATACACAAGGTAAGAGACTTGAGAGGTATAAAAATTGATACAATTTGAAAAATTATCTGGAATCCTAATACCAAGTCTGCCACTGCTAGACGTATCATGAAAATATTGCCACGTGTTTGCAGTTTCTGCACACATGCATAGGTGATGATGACCAACAGATTTCCAAAACATATGATGACCATAACTAGTGCAAATGCAAACACAACCAATGCTTTGTATAATGTTGTCTGGTAATAGTATGGACCATTTTCACCTTCAGTATTGTTGTCTGCAAAATAAAAGTCATTCCTAGTCCCATTCACTGGTATCATCATCAGGCTTAAGTTATTCCTTTGTAAGTGTGCCACTAGTTGCAGCTTTCTTTACCTCTCAGTAGTTACAAAGGCCTGCCGTTCAAATATTCATTTAATAAATTCTCCACTAAAATCTCAATCCCTGTATTTTTTAGCATTAGGCAGCAAAACCAGTCACAGCTGTTACAGCTGCTCACTTTTTCATTCTTGTTGAAAATCAATTTCACCTTCTCTTTATCTCAGCTCTTATACAATCTGAGTCAATTGCTGTGTCAGAGATTATCTGATTGTATTGCTACAGGCATTGAGCTAACTAGTTCATTGCTACAGAGTACAGTATATCTAATCCTAATGCAATACAACAACTAAAATGCATTAACTTAAACATCTGCAAAACGTCTCTGAATATCATAATAGCATTTTCAATCTGCACAATGAATTACTGATAGGAACAAGAAAGAGGTGACAATAACTTTCTACTGATGCAAAGTCAACTAGGCAGCAAAGCTGGCAAATATCCAGACACCATACACAGGCCTACCCAACTACCAGACTCGGCACCGAATGATCCTGAATTCACCGGTAGATCAGACCACACTACCCGTTTTCAAGGTGTGTGTCAGATCGCATTACACAGTATCATACCCTGAACAAATTTTGAGTGGTGATGCAATGCTTTTCAACCCCGCTGAGAATCGTCACTATCACATCGCATACTAGGCAAGAGCGGTGTCGCGTCTGATACTGTGAAATGCGTACTGATACACACCTTGAAAACGGGTAGCGTGGTCCAATTTACCGGTGAATTCAGGATCATTCGGTGCCGAGTCTGGTAGTTGGGTGGGCCTGATATAGGAAACAAGGCAGCAAAGCTGTCAAATGTACAGACAATTCACATAAAAAAGTGCACAAAATAATGTTTGGCCAATTTCGATTCACTATTACATAATGCTTTAAAATAGCATAATCATTCTTACTCTCTTGCATTATGTACCACAGGTAACATGGACATTGAAAAACTAGTCAGTGATGCAGTTCCATTGGATAAACAAGTCACTGAAAATGCTAATGTGTGAAAAATGAACATTTCACACACACACACCCACACAATGACATATAGCCAGCATTTGCATTTAGCCAAAAATCAAAAATCAATGAATAAAGCGTATATCACCATGGTCAGTCACAAAACATCTCTAGGTAAATATAATAAATGCCTTACAATGTAACAGCACCATTGCTCTCATCTAACATACATATTTTTCAATATGCTATATTGATGTGTATATGTTATTTAGTTAAAATATCAAAATTTAAAAAAAATAATAATTAAATATCACAGAATAGCTGTTTTCAAGCTTTACCTTAAATCCCTTCAATTGTATCAGCACATAATTAGAAAAAAATCCCATGTTCAGGATGGAGATAATTATGTTCACTTCAACTCTAAGATAAATGAGCAAAACTTAAGTCAAATACGGATGGATAATCTCCACAATGTTGATCATCATCATTACATTGTCGTAAGGCATTTTCTACTGTCACAACTCCTTTTAATATTGACATCTTGATCTTAAAAACAAATTAATATTGTATTATTATGATACCGGCCAATTAATTATAATTGAGTCAAGACTACAATCAGCTATTTTTTCAATTCAGAATGAATCCCTCTTTCAGCATATCTTTTGCCTCTGCTATAAAGGTACAAGATCCAGTATAATATCCATTGCCACTCACTTCCACCACAACAGCATCATGTGTTCCTGCCTTGCAACTACGTATAGCTTTGCCAGTAAATCTAGACCTGAAAACATAAAATAAAGAGTTTTTAAATATAATAGGTAACATTTGTGCTTGGTTACTATGATGTATGAAAGACTGTGTAGCAATCACAGTAAGTCATCATCATCATCATCATCTGCTGCCTTCCTCCAATTAAGTGGAACATTGACCATTGCCAGCATTCACCATCTTAGCAAGTTCTGGTCCAGTCAAGGCCATACATGGCTCAGATAGGTCCATTAACAAGGAAGATTGTACCCTGCAATGTGTGGCGATGCAAATGACAAGTACAACAGTCAACTGAAATGAAATTTAAATAATCGAAAGACTCTCAAGTAAAAGAACAAAATTATTATTTTCTGAAAGGATATTTTGAGAACATTAAGTGTCATTAAGCCCAGAGTCCCCAGCTTGGCATTAATAGCATGTTTCATACTTCAATAATTTACCATTAAACTTGTCTATATCTTACCCAGTACAACCACTTTCAAACACCCTCTCTTGGTCAATACTTATCAGGCCCTTGGCAAACTGAAGAGCAATACGTGCTGTTACTCCAGAACCAGTAGGACATCTGTCCACCTGGAAAAAAAACATAAAATGCCATAAATAAATGAATGAACAGACAGCAACACAGAAAGATAGATGTGTAAACTAGAGCCTTTTGCCAGACTTTTAACATAGGTATTTGTAACATTTACTTTCCGAGTAGTAGTTGATACCTGTAACATATTAAACAATATAGCTAGAATATACTAATCTACAACCAGTGGGCTTCGGATATGCAATAGTTGCTATGCAGAACATTTTGTTAACTCATTTTTTACATTATTTTGAATAGCGATCAAGAGACACACATGTGATTATATAATACTTACCTGCCTGTCAGCAAAGACACAAATGTTAGCAGTTGGTTCCTGAGAAAACTCTTCCTTGCCATCAGTGACAATGGTTCCATATAAGAAAGCCAGGTCAGGACTATCTGGGTGGTGGAGTTTCACAGTGGATTTTACTGCTTCTGTAAAAATCATAATAAATTGCAGAGAAAAATGATGACCATGTTAAATTTTTTTAAGTTGTCTTATTTGAACTACTGTACTTGAAATCCTACTTACAACATAGGCATATATGAAACATTATAATATTTATTGAATTTAATAAGTTTTTCAATACTTCTGTCATTGGGGTCCATTTCTTTAAGTTTTATTGCCAACCATAATTATTTCAATCAATGACTAGTCTAATGCATACTGAATGGCCTTCTACAGGTACAGTTGGTCAAAATGAAAAAAATAAATAAATAAAATCCAACCAACAGACATGTATTTCTATAATAATAAACAAAGACTACTTAGTAAGAAAAAGAATTACCTGTAACTTTTGAGGCTGCATCAACTATTTCAGAAGTTTTCTTTGTTTGGAAGTTGAGACCCAATGCTTCTGTGGTAACGAATGCATAGAATGCTCCTCCATAAGCTATGTCCACCTGGAGTTCACCATAACCTGGGACGGACACTTTAACATCTGAGAAAGACGATGATAATTGATATTCTAGTATATACGGACCCATGGAATTGATATAAAAGCAATGAGAAAAAAATCCAAGTTCTCTCGATCAATTATTAAAAAAAATTACTCATTCATATGGCTTGGGAATAGCGGACCCCCAGATCAGCAGTCCCTTGGAATGGCAGAAAGTGGGAACCATTAAACACCCTTTTGAGAATATTGTGAGTAAATTTCAGGAACTGGTACTGTATAAAATCATGAAAGAAATTATAATTTGAAGAAAATGGCAAGAATGACAATTTTACCTGCAGCAAATAAAAAGGAGGGAACACTGTGAAACCTCACTCGCCCAGTTTCTCCTAAGTGATTACATTCAACAAAGGCTTTCACCAGGCCACATGGACATTGGATATTCACCTCAGTCTCGGGAGGGGACGGTTTATGCCTTGCAAGCCCCTTATCAAGAGCATAGCGCCCCAATGCAATCACTGCATGGCCACACATAGTGCTATACCCTTCATTATGCATAAACAAAACTGCCATATCTGCTTCAGGGTTGTCTGGTTCTATGAGAAGCGCGCCATACATGTCGAAATGCCCTCTTGGTTCAAACATGAGAAACTTTCTCAAAAAATCAAAATTTTCTTTTACGAATTTTCGTTTCTCTAATATAGTTTCTCCTGAGATTTTCGGATACCCAGATTCTACAATTCTGAGTGGCTCCCCTCCTGTATGCATTTCTGTGGTCTTAATGACTAGATCAGATATATTCATAACTGCTATTTCGTCATTAAAAGCCATGATACTCCCTCTAATTTACCGCTCTCCACGTCTAAACCTCGTTATCGCGCAAAGTTTGTTTTGCAGAAACATTTATGTCAGAAGAGCTGTATGAAACAAGACAGGCTTAAGCAATTTAAGTAAATTTTGTCAAATATAATCAGTGAATCACTTTCTTTGACATAATTTTAATACTTTCTACTATTTCATTAAATGTCTCATCACGAGCATTGTTTGTGCTCGGGTTTGACGCAAACATAATTAATGGAAATAATTATGTATCTCCTCTTGATGCGATTAACATCAATGATGCCGAGGATGCTGTGGGGAGTTTGTTTTCGTCTAGCATTGGTTTCAATTATATCACAGACGTGTGTAAGCACTGAAGCAGGTAATGTCTGCTCTAAACCAATTTAAAAAGCACGATCCATTTCCTGTAAACATATAAAAGCATATCGAGACTTATTGTGTTTGACATTGAAATGAAGAGAATCAGTCAGAACGGGTGTCGGGTCAGCTTTCTGAGTAGTTGTCTTCTTTGAAAATATTAACAATTAAACCAATTTACCTGTCTTAATCAGAGTTATGTTGATAATTTTAATGTCATTCTTTCAGATGTAATCCCAGCTCCATGTCGAGGGCTTTACTGTGGAAGAGTGCGACATGAAGATGGGTCATTTGGTGACTGTGGAGTAAGTTTTAACAGAGCCGAGTATAACCCTGATTTTACTGTTTTTTTTTTTTTGTCATATATGTTTTCTGTTTTTGCATGAGATCCTAGAGCAGAGTATTGATGAAAAGCTTTCATATCATTTTTTTTTTATATAATGAAATTGAAGCATTCATTATTATAACAGAAATCAAGCCCTTGTCAGTTTTTGTGGTACATGTATTTTCTTAGGCTGCGTTCACATGAAAAATCTATATTCTAAAAATCTAAAAATCTATTTGCGGTATCTTGTGATCACGGTCTGTGCCCTGAATACCCCGCGGCCTAATTACTGGCAGTGCCAAGAATTAATTACAGCTTTGGAAGTAACCCGCTCGCTCTGCCCGTAATTACGCCGTGGGGTATTCAGGGCACAGACCGTGAGCACAACATACAGCAAATAGATTTTTAGAAAATAGAATTTTCATATGAATGCAGCCTTTGTATTTTAGGCGGTATTTTAGAGGTACTTAAAACTAAGACCTGTAACCAGGGGGCAGGGGGTCAAAAGAACCACCCTTTTTGTCAGGAAAAGGCCCATTCTGCATAAAATTTTATCTAGGTACACAAAAGTTTCATTGTAAATGGTCCACTTTTTCAGAAAAAGAATTAACCCCCTTTTGAATTTGTTGGCTATGGGCCTGATCGTAGTGATGGTTAAAACATCAATTGGATAATATTTCATCATTCTGGTTTCTTCAGGCATGCCCTCATGGCCAGAGACCCAACAACTCAGTGTGTTCACCTTGTGAGAACACTCCACCTTTGTATGACTGGTTGTATCTAGGCTTCATGGCCATAGCCCCCTTAGTCTTGCATTGGTTCTTCATAGACTTCACTAATGCTAGGAAAGTGTAAGTGTGTATATGAGCTCATGCCAGCTTACCTCCACTTAAATAAAATAGAAAGTGATAGCTTTATTTAGTCGAATTATCATTTGGTATTTATTATGACAATAATTTCAAATTTTGGCTAAGACAAGTGGATGATTGAGTGAGTTGATTTGTATTCTGATATAAGTTTTTGATATAAGTGCAGCCAGATTGAACAATTTTTGTTTGGTTGATTTTAATCCAAATTTTTCATGATAGAATACAAATAAAATATCCCAATCACAACTGCAATATACATAGATGTATCATGTGCATATATATAATTGTGTATTGATATCAATTGTCAAACAAACTGTGGTGTTTTGTTGCTTAGATTGTTGAAATTAGAGACATGTTTTATTTACAATTTCATGCCACATTGTATACTTGTTTCAGACATGGTCTCTTGGTGTTGCACATCTCAGCCTTTTCGGAATCCCTTTTAGCTGCTGTCATGACTCTGTTGGTCTCTCAGCCTCGAGGCAGGCTCAGTATCTCGTCATGCCATGTAGAGAGACTCAGTGACTGGTACACTATGCTGGAAAACCCAAAGATTGACTACACCACTACTATCCACTGTACACAAGAAGCAGTGTACCCATTGTAAGCAGGACAGAACAATGTTTCTGTGTCCTTCTCTCTCTTTAATCTATTTTAATGTTTGTAACATATTTTAGTTTTTCACTCTCTTACTAGTTAACATTGTAATATATCATAGTAATTTCTATTGGCTTTCAGCCAAAACTATTGGAATTTAGATAGTAGGTTATCCCTCTATGATCACCTTGTTAGATACTTGCTGTTGAGATATATAAAACTTCACGGTAGAGGAGGGGACAAAGATTTTATTGTATTGTAATGTTTATCTCTGCTTTTTTATAGGTACACCATAGTGATGATATACTACGCCTTCTGTTTGGTCTTCATGATGCTTTTTAGGCCTGTGATCTCAGCAAAACTTGTTGGAGGAAAAGGAACAAAGTCCATATATGCAGCTTTATATTTCATTCCTTCATTGGTCGTTATACAGGCAGTGTTAGGTGGCTTAATGTGTAAGATTTCAAATTTGCAGTATATAAAAGTGCATTTTTGAATGTTCGTAATGAGCTTTTTATGCAGTGAAGAGTATGTGAGACTTAAGTAGACAGCATTTTGCCAAGGAGGTGTTTACATGTAGATATATTTTAATACAATATGCCAACTAAAGGTAACTTGTCATTACTTATGTTTATTACTTCAAATGCTTCTTAATTGCTACTCGGTGTTAAAATGGGAGTTATTTTGTTATCTGCAAGTTGAAAACATAATTTGTTTTTACTTCATTTATCATGTTGCCTTGCAGATTATTCATTTCCATACATATTGGTAGTTGTGTCCCTAATAACTCTGGCCCTGCATCTAGCATCATTTGAAGATCAGGTAATGTAGTTGTCCATTTGCACAAGATATTGCTATATGATATACAAAATAACATTTTTTGTGCTGAAAGATGGGTATTCATGAGAGATGAGACGTGTATGTAAGATTCATTTTTTTAAAAATGTGACATCTCCCATGCTTCTTGTTATATATATATATATATATATATAACTCATCTAAACCATTGTTTTCCAGGATATCAAATCCTTGGTCAAATCCAATTTCACAGTTCCTCGTAACCTGGCAGTGCTGGTAGGACATTGGTTGTTACACACATACGGAATAGTATCCATCACAGAAATGAGAGAGCCATGGTTACATGGCCCACTTCTGGCCTTGGTGCCATTGCCAACACTGTATTACTTACTGACTGCTAAGTTTACAGACCCAGATAATTTAAATGTGGTTGATGGCTGACTGTCAGTAATAGAAAGGAGGTAAATATTCGTTTTCTCTCTGGCACCTGCTGGCAGGGCTTGCAATTAACATGAAGCTGTTCCCCTGAGAGGTGACTGGAATACAGAAGAGAGACAGAACTGTTAAGTTTCCAGCAGAACTAGTGTTAAATGAGGGGCAGCAGATTAATATTTTTGTGCTGCATTAGTCTTCATTCTTGAAAAGCTGCAAGAACAAGAAGGGATATTTTTGTGTTTTTATTGAAATGGGGAAACACTGAGATTTAAACCAACAGAGCATGAATTTAATTGTTAAATAGAGGATCAGAGAGGTGATACCGCCTTAGGGTAATGTACCACCAGCTGGAATAAGTGCATTCATATGGAAAACAACAAAAAAAGGGTCACAACTGTGCTTGTAAAGTATGAAGTGCCCCCCTCCAAGTTACATGCACACCACCCAAAATGAAATGACAGATTAAGCCCTTAGACCAGAAGTCACTCCCATGCTTTCAGTATATGGAACTAATTTTTGGTATTACTTCATGTATAAAATTGAAATGAATCGACTTGGTTTCCCTTAAATAATTCAGATTTAATTTTGGAAAATGAATTTACTTTGTCTACAAACATGACAGGTTATCCAAAATGAGTATTTGAATAAAGATGGTGACATAAATGACAAGGTGTTCTGCATGGCTTATTTCATATGCTTTGTTGCAGTGCTATTTGGCTAATACACAGCGAATACAAACAGTGTATGATAGCCAGAAATCCCTTTCATAAAAGCCTTAATTAGAAATGGCAAAGTTAGTAACTTTACAAAGCAGGCATGATGATCTATATGTTGTTAAATGTTTGAAAGTTATAGGGGACATTAAGTGAACCACTTGCAGTGCATTAATTTGCCAAAAGTGAAAAAATACTCGCACGTCAGAATTGAGGCACACTACGAATTTTAACATTCCAAAACTTTGTATTGCTAGATTTGCCAAGATGCGAATCCCCTGCATACTCCAAACTTTTAATGTGTGACCTGAAATGCATTAAACTATTCTAAAGAAGTTGATAGATTTAATATTTTCATCACAGAATTATTTTGCTTGTTTTCAGTGTTAGTTTACTTTCATCACTCTCTTTAAGTACATGTACAATCCAACTTTTAGCTGCAGTATCCTTTTTATTATTAGAATTAATTTGATTGCCATGAACTAATGTACGTGTTCTGCATTACTTCAATATCATGTATAAAATAAATCAGTTTGTTTTGCTGTAACTCAGATTTTTCTTCTCCCCTCCCCTTCCTTATATCATGGATGCACCAGGGATGATGATGATTAAGCTCTTTTAAAAATAAGGTATAACGATAATATTGTTTTCATGGTCAGGACTACCGGACTACCAAACGCGGCACCGGAGGGTCCAAAATTCACTGGTAGGTCAGATCACGCTACTGGTTTTCAAGGTGTGTATCAGTGCATGCTTCGAAGTATCAGACGAGGCACCCACCTGGTATGTGATGTGATAGCGATGACGCTGAGCAGAGTTGGAGTGAGGTTAATGTGAACGGATCATGCTNGAAATGCCTACTGATACACACATTGAAAACGAGTAGCGTGGTCCAATTTACCAGTGAATTCAGGATCATTCGGTGCCGAGTCTGGTAGTTGGGTAGGCCTGATATAGGAAACAAGGCAGCAAAGCTGTCAAATGTACAGACAATTCACATAAAAAAGTGCACAAAATAATGTTTGGCCAATTTCGATACACTATTACATAATGCTTTAAAATAGCATAATCATTCTTACTCTCTTGCATTATGTACCACAGGTAACATGGACATTGAAAAACTAGTCAGTGATGCAGTTCCATTGGATAAACAAGTCACTGAAAATGCTAATGTGTGAAAAATGAAAATTTCACACACACACACACCCACACAATGACACATAGCCAGCATTTGCATTTAGTCAAAAATCAATGAATAAAGCATATATCACCATGGTCAGTCACAAAACATCTCTAGGTAAATATAATAAATGCATTACAATGTAACAGCACCATTGCTCTCATCTAACATACATATTTTTCAATATGCTGTATTGATGTGTATATGTTATTTAGTTAAAATATCAAAATTTAAAAAAATAATAATTAAATATCACAGAATAGCTGTTTTCAAGCTTTACCTTAAACCCCTTCAATTGTATCAGCACATAATTAGAAAAAAATCCCATGTTCAGGATGGAGATAATTATGTTCACTTCAACTCTAAGATAAATAAGCAAAACTTAAGTCAAATACGGATGGATATTCTCCACAATGTTGATCATCATCATTACATTGTTGTAAGGCATTTTCCACTGTCACAACTCCTTTTAATATTGACATCTTGATCTTAAAAACAAATAAATATTGTATTATTATGATACCGGCCAATTAATTATAATTGACTACAATCAGCTATTTTTTCAATTCAGAATGAATCCCTCTTTCAGCATATCTTTTGCCTCTGCTATAAAGGTACAAGATCCAGTATAATATCCATTGCCACTCACTTCCACCACAACAGCATCATGTGTTCCTGCCTTGCAACTACGTATAGCTTTGCCAGTAAATCTAGACCTGAAAAGATAAAATAAAGAGTTTTCAAATATAATAGGTAAGATTTGTGCTTGGTTACTATGATGTATGAAAGACTGTGTAGCAATCACAGTAAGTCATCATCATCATCTGCTGCCTTCCTCCAATTAAGTGGAACATTGACCATTGCCAGCATTCACCATCTTAGTAAGTTCTGGTCCAGTCAAGGCCATACATGGCTCAGATAGGTCCATAAACAAGGAGGATTGTACCTTGCAATGTGTGGCGATGCAAATGACAAGAACAACAGTCAACTGAAATGAAATTTAAATAATTGAAAGACTCTTAAGTAAAAAAACAAGATTATTATTTTCTGAAAGGATATTTTGAGGACATTAAATGTCATTAAGCCCAGAGTTCCCAGCTTGGCATCAATAGCATGTTTCATACTTTAATAATTTACCATTAAACTTGTCTATATCTTACCCAGTACAACCATTTTCAAACGCCCTCTCTTGGTCAATACTTATCAGGCCCTTGGCAAACTGAAGAGCAATACGTGCTGTTACTCCAGAACCAGTAGGACATCTGTCTACCTGAAAAAAAAAAAACACAAAATGCCATAAATAAATGAATGAACAGACAGCAACACAGAAAGATGGATGTGCAATCTAGAGCCTTTTACCAGACTTTTAACATAGGTATTTGTAACATTTACTTCCAAAGATGTAGTTGATACCTGTAACATAATAAACAATATCGAATATACTAATCTATAACCAGTGGGCTTGGGATATGCAATGGTTACTATGCAGAACATTTTGTTAACTCATTTTTTACATTATTTTGAATAGCGATCAAGAGACACGTAATTATATAATACTTACCTGTCTGTCAGCAAAGACACAAATGTTAGCAGTTGGTTCCTGAGAGAACTCTTCCTTGCCATCAGTGACAATGGTTCCATATAAGAAAGCCAGGTCAGGACTATCTGGGTGGTGGAGTTTCACAGTGGATTTTACTGCTTCTGTAAAATTCATAATAAATTACAAAGAAAAATGATGACAGTGTTAAAAATTTTTTTAAGTTGTCTTATTTGAACTACTGTACTTGAAATCCTACTTACAACATAGGCATATATAAAACATTATAATATTTATTGAATGTGAGTTTTTCAATACTTCTGTCATTGGGGTCCATATCTTTAAATAAGTTTTATTGCCAACCATAATTATTTCAATCAATAACTAGTCTAATGCATACTGAATGGCCTTCTACAGGTACAGTTGGTTAAAATGAAAAAAATAAATAAATTTTAATAAATAAAATCCAACCAACAGACATGTATTTCTATAATAATAAACAAAGACTACTTTGTAAGAAAAAGAATTACCTGTAACTTTTGAGGCTGCATCAACTATTTCAGAAGTTTTGTTTGTTTGGAAGTTGAGACCCAATGCTTCTGTGGTAACGAATGCATAGAATGCTCCTCCATAAGCTATGTCCACCTGGAGTTCACCATAACCTGGGACAGACACTTTAACATCTGGGAAAGACGATGATAACTGATATAAAAGCAATGAGAAAAAATCCAAGTTCTCTCAATTATTTTTTTTAATTACTCATTCGTATGGCTTGGGAATAGTGGACCCCCAGATCAACAGTCCCTTGGAATGGCAGAACTTGGGAACCATTAAACACCCTTTTGAGAATTGTGTGTCAATTTCAGGTACTGTATAAAATCATGAAAGAAATTACATTTTGAAGAAAATGGCAAGAATGACAATTTTACCTGCAGCAAATAAAAAGGAGGGCACACTGTGAAACCTCACTCGCCCAGTTTCTCCTAAGTGATTACATTCAACAAAGGCTTTCACCAGGCCACATGGACATTGGATATTCACCTCAGTCTCGGGAGGGGACGGTTTATGCCTTGCAAGCCCCTTATCAAGAGCATAGCGCCCCAATGCAATCACTGCATGGCCACACATGGTGCTATACCCTTCATTATGCATAAACAAAACTGCCATATCTGCTTCAGGGTTGTCTGGTTCTATGAGAAGCGCGCCATACATGTCGAAATGCCCTCTTGGTTCAAACATGAGAAACTTTCTCAAAAAATCAAAATTTTCTTTTACGAATTTTCGTTTCTCTAATATAGTTTCTCCTGAGATTTTCGGATACCCAGATTCTACAATTCTGAGTGGCTCCCCTCCTGTATGCATTTCTGTGGTCTTAATGACTAGATCAGATATATTCATAACTGCTATTTCGTCATTAAAAGCCATATGCAACTTTCTGTGATACTCCCTCTAATTTACCGCTCTCCACGTCTAAACCTCGTTATCGCGCAAAGTTTGTTTTGCAGAAACATTTATGTCAGAAGAGCTGTATGAAACAAGACAGGCTTAAGCAATTTAAGTAAATTTTGTCAAATATAATCAGTGAATCACTTTCTTTGACATAATTTTAATACTTTCTACTATTTCATTAAATGTCTCATCACGAGCATTGTTTGTGCTCGGGTTTGACGCAAACATAATTAATGGAAATATAAAAACGTCGCTGTATCTCCTCTTGATGCGATTAACATCAATGATGCCGAGGATGCTGTGGGGAGTTTGTTTTCGTCTAGCATTGGTTTCAATTATATCACAGACTTGTGTAAGCACTGAAGCAGGTAATGTCTGCTCTAACCCAATTTAAAAAGCACGATCCATTTCCTGTAAACATATAAAAGCATATCGAGACTTATTGTGTTTGACATTGAAATGAAGAGAATCAGTCAGAACGGGTGTCGGGTCAGCTTTCTGAGTAGTTGTCTTCTTTGAAAATATTAACAATTTAACCAATTTACCTGTCTTAATCAGAGTTATGTTGATAATTTAAATGTCCTTCTTTCAGATGTAATCCCAGCTCCTTGTCGAGGGCTTTACTGTGGAAGAGTGCGACATGAAGATGGGTCATTTGGTGACTGTGGAGTAAGTTTTAACAGAGCCGAGCATAACCCTGATTTTACTGGTTTTTTTTTGTCATATATGTTTTCTGTTTTTGCATGAAATTCTAGAGCAGAGTATTGATGAAAAGCTTTCATATCATTTTTTTTATATAATGAAATTGAAGCATTCATTATCATAACAGAAATCAAGCCCTGGTCAGTTTTTGTGGTACATGTATTTTCTTAGGCTGCGTTCACATGAAAAATCTATATTCTAAAAATCTATTTGCAGTATCTTGTGATCACGGTCTGTGACCTGAATACCCCGCGGTGTAATTACTGGCAGTGCCAAGAATTAATTACAGCTTTGGAAGTAACTGGCTCGCCCTGCCCGTAATTATGCAGTGGGATATTCAGGGCACAGACCGTGATCACAACATACCGCAAATAGATTTTTAGAAAATAGAATTTTCATATGAATGCAGCCTTTGTATTTTAGGCGGTATTTTAGAGGTACTTAAAACTAAGACCTGTAAAGGGGGGGGGGGGGGGTCAAAAGAACCACCCTTTTTGTCAGGAAAAGGCTTATTCTGCATGAAATTTTATCTAGGTACACAAAAGTTTCATTGTAAATGGTCCACTTTTTCAGAAAAAGAATTAACCCCCTTTTGAATTTGTTGGCTATGGGCCTGATCATACTGATCAATTGGATAATATTTCATCATTCTGGTTTCTTCAGGCATGCCCTCATGGCCAGAGACCCAACAACTCAGTGTGTTCACCTTGTGAGAACACTCCACCTTTGTATGACTGGTTGTATCTAGGCTTCATGGCCATAGCCCCCTTAGTCCTGCATTGGTTCTTCATAGACTTCACCAATGCTAGGAAAGTGTAAGTGTGTATATGAGCTCATGTCAGCTTACCTCCGCTTAAATAAAATACGAGTAGAAAGTGATAGCTTTATTTAGTCGAATTATCATTTGGTATTTATTATGACAATAATTTCAAATTTTGGCTAAGACAAGTGGATGATTGAGTTAGTCGATTTGTAATCAAATATAAGTTTTTGATATAAGTGCAGCCAGGTTGAACAATTTTTGTTTGGTTGATTTTAATCCAAATATTTCATGATAGAATACAAGAAATATATCCCAATCACAACTTCAATATACATAGATGTATCATGTGCATATATATAATTGTGTATTGATATTAATTGTCAAACAAACTGTGGTGTTTTGTTGCTTAGATTGTTGAAATTAGAGACTTGTTTTATTTACAATTTCATGCCACTTGTTTCAGACATGGTCTCTTGGTGTTGCACATCTCAGCCTTTTCGGAATCCCTTTTAGCTGCCGTCATGACTTTGCTGGTCTCTCAGCCTCGAGGCAGGCTCAGTATCTCGTCATGCCATGTAGAGAGACTCAGTGACTGGTACACTATGCTGGAAAACCCAAAGATTGACTACACCACTACTATCCACTGTACACAAGAAGCAGTGTACCCATTGTAAGCAGGACAGAACAATATTTCTGTGTCCTTCTCTCTCTTTAATCTATTTTTTCACTCTCTTACTAGTTAACATTGTAATATATCATAGTAATTTCTATTGGCTTTCAGCCAAAACTATTGGAATTTAGATAGTAGGTTATCCCTCTATGATCACCTTGTTAGATACTTGCTGTTGAGATATATATAACTTCATGGTAGAGGAAGGGACAAAGATTTTATTGTATTGTAATGTTTATCTCTGCTTTTTTTATAGGTACACCATAGTGATGATATACTATGCCTTCTGTTTGGTCTTCATGATGCTTTTTAGGCCTGTGATCTCAGCAAAACTTGTTGGAGGAAAAGGAACAAAGTCCATATATGCAGCTTTATATTTCATTCCTTCATTGGTTGTTATACAGGCAGTGTTAGGTGGCTTGATGTGTAAGATTTCACATTTGCAGTATGTAAATTAAGTGCATTTTTGAATGTTCATAATGAGCTTTTTATTCAGTGAAAAGTACTAATTATGTGAGACTATTAAGTAGTCAGCATTTTGCCAAGGAGGTATTTTCATACATGTAGATATATTTTGATACAATATGGCAACAAAAGGTAACTTGTCATTACTTATGTTTATTACTACCAATGTTTCTTAATTGCTACTCGGTATTAAAATGGGAGTTATTTTATTACATGCAAGTTGAAAACATAATTTGTTTTTACTTCATTTATCATGTTTCCTTGCAGATTATTCATTTCCATACATATTGGTGGTTGTGTCTCTAATAACACTGGCCCTGCATCTAGCGTCATTTGAAGATCAGGTAATGTAGTTGTCCATTTGTACAAGATATTGCTATATGATATACAAAATAGCATTTTTGTGCTGAAAGATGGGTATTCATGAGAGATGAAGCGTGTATGTAAGATTAATTTCAAAATAATGTGACATGGACTTCCTTTTGATGGTTCATCTCCCATGCTTCTTGTTATATATATATATATAAGTCATCTGTACCATTGTTTTCCAGGATATCAAATCCTTAGTCAAATCCAATTTCACAGTTCCTCGTAACCTGGCAGTGCTGGTAGGACATTGGTTGTTACACACATACGGAATAGTATCCATCACAGAAATGAGAGAGCCATGGTTACATGGCCCACTTCTGGCCTTGGTGCCATTGCCAACACTGTATTACTTACTGACTGCTAAGTTTACAGACCCAGATAATTTAAATGTGGTTGATGGCTGACTGTCAGTAATAGAAAGGAGGTAAATATTCGTTTTCTCTCTGGCACCTGCTGGCAGGGCTTGCAATTAACATGAAGCTGTTCCCCTGAGAGGTGACTGGAATACAGAAGAGAGACAGAACTGTTAAGTTTCCAGCAGAACTAGTGTTAAATGAGGGGCAGCAGATTAATATTTTTGTGCTGCATTAGTCTTCATTCTTGAAAAGATGCAAAAACAAGAAGGGATATTTTTGTGTTTTTATTGAAATGGAGAAACACTGAGATTTAAACCAACAAAGCATGAATTTAATTGTTAAATAGAGGATCAGAGAGGTGATACCGCCTTAGGATAATGTACCACCAGCTGGAATAAGTGCATTCATATGGAAAACGACAAAAAAAGGGTCACAACTGTGCTTGTAAAGTATGAAGTGCCCCCCTCCAAGTTACATGCACACCACCCAAAATGAAATGACAGATTAAGCCCTTAGACCAGAAGTCACTCCCATGCTTTCAGTATATGGACCTAATTTTTGGTATTACTTCATGTATAAAATTGAAATGAATCGACTTGGTTTCCCTTAAATAATTCAGATTTAATTTTGGAAAATGAATTTACTTTGTCTACAAACATGACAGGTTATCCAAAATGAGTATTTGAATAAAGATGGTGACATAAATGACAAGGTGTTCTGCATGGCTTATTTCATATGTTTTGTTGCAGTGCTATTTGGCTAATACACAGCGAATACAAACAGTGTATGATAGCCAGAAATCCCTTTCATATAAGCCTTAATTAGAAATGGCAAAGTTAGTAACTTTACAAAGCAGGCATGATGATCTATATGTTGTTAAATGTTTGAAAGTTATAGGGGACATTAAGTGAACCACTTGCAGTGCATTAATTTGCCAAAAGTGAAAAAATACTCGCACGTCAGAATTGAGGCACACTACGAATTTTAACATTCCAAAACTTTGTATTGCTAGATTTGCCAAGATGCGAATCCCCTGCATACTCCAAACTTTTAATGTGTGACCTGAAATGCATTAAACTATTCTAAAGAAGTTGATAGATTTACTATTTTCATCACAGAATTATTTTGCTTGTTTTCAGTGTTAGTTTACTTTCATCACTCTCTTTAAGTACATGTACAATCCAACTTTTAGCTGCAGTATCCTTTTTATTATTAGAATTAATTTGATTGCCATGAACTAATGTGTTCTGCATTACTTCAATATCATGTATAAAACAAATCAGTTTGTTTTGCTATAACTCAGATTTTTCTTCTCCCCCTCCCCTTCCTTATATCATGGATGCACCAGGGATGATGATGATGATGATTAAGCTCTTTTAAAAATAAGGTATAACGATAATATTGCTTTCATGGTCAGGACTACCAGACTACCAAACGCGGCACCGGAGGGTCCAAAATTCACTGGTAGGTCAGATCACGCTACTGGCTTTCAAGGTGTGTATCAGTGCACGCTTCGAAGTATCAGACGAGGCACCCACCTGGTATGTGATGTGATAGCGATGACGCTGAGCAGAGTTGGAGTGAGGTTAATGTGAACGGATCATGCTGATTTTCGAAAGCAACCTGCTTCTTTACCAAACAAAGCAACTCGGTAAATTTTAGGTGAAACAAAAATACAGATATCGGGCGAATGTCATGTGTACGACAGCAACGGCGA